CTCCCGCTGCCCCTCGGTCCACCTCGTCTCCCTCTGCAGCCTCTTGCTGAGCCTGCAGAACACACACAACCACAGAGGCCGGCAGTTGTCATCCAAGCATTTTTGATACTAATTTGCACCTTTAAAAGGATTTCACTTGCCTATAAATACCACAAGATGGCGATAATAGCAATACTTTTCTATCAAACAGATTATGGCTGGGCAATTAATGATTTCAATTTTGGTTTCTTGGGATCATAACAACATGATAGTCAAAAGAAAAATGATTAATGTGCCAAATGGTGGTGTGTCTGTGTGTGTGCATGCAAGTTCCTATGTTGTGAAAGCACCCTGATGGCACCGTGAGGCTTGTTCAGCAAGCGTGTAACGAATGATATTCGTTCCTCCCTGAGCATGCTTGTTTAATGATACCCCAGTTGGGTTTACTGGAAATATAAACTTACAACAAAAATAATTACACACATTATATATTGAAATACAAAAAACACTTCGTTTTAGAAACATCGCTGTTGCTAATGCTTGCAGTCAATGTAAAATCCCACCGATAGCTGAACGGAAAATTAGCATTGAGTTCCAAAAGTGACATTCCTCTCAATAACCAATAGTCATATATAAACACAGCAGGAACACATACAGCCAGGTAATATAACAATACTCAAAGGTATATATATTCTTCCTAATCTTTGTAAAACGAGTCATATTAAAACAAAAAGCTCAATCACAACTTTCTTTATCTTAAAGATGATCATTCATATCTCAAGGCACCACTGTAGGTGAATTTGCGAGTAGCAGATTGCAAATAACGCACCTTGCATTATTCGCAAGGATGAACACGACAGGCGTGTCTTTGTTCATCTAGCCATGCTAGCGACATATGGTGTCAGGCAGAATAATTCCCTGCTCTTCCACTAGATGGCAGAAGGTAAACCCCGTCTCTCCACCAGTTGTCATTCATACAACAGAATAAGCAATTTGTGTTCAATTAAACAGGCCCAGATTTCACACTCTTTATAGCAACAACCCCCACTGTGGCGCAGTGAGTGCTTCCCATTTGTTTCAAGCCCTTCAGCGCCTGCCTCTAACTCGTTTCCTTCTGCCTCAAGCCCCATACACCCCCCCCCCCCCCCCCACACACACACACACACCTGCACTTGTGCAGCCTGCGCCGCTGCCGCCTGCTCTTGCTCCTGTTCCTGGTAGTACTGTGATGCTCGGCGGTCCTCCTCCTCCTGCAGCTTTTTAGCCAGCTCCAGGTCACTGATGCCAGGGAGCTGCTCCCACTGTAGGTCCTGACTCTGCTGCTCCTGCTGCAGCGACAGCGCCATCAAGTAGTCCTGAGTCAAAAAAGGATGATGATAAAATGCAACATGCAATACGTACACCAGCCATTGGCAAAGTTTGCTTCATGTACCATTCGATGGAGTCCGCTAGAATCACTGAATGACATGTTCAAACTTTGCATATTGTTACAGTGACTTCAACTTGTGACTTTTAAAATCCATTGCAGTATATTTTTAAATACAGTCCAGTTGTATTTAACTTTTAAGTTGGTTTCAGAGATTTATTCAGGTACAATACGACAACTTTTATTTAACTTTCACAAAGCAGCAGATGTGGACAAATAATACAATACTCACAGGCATATATTCTTTATCATCCGCACAGAATGACCAATACCACTGCGGCTTATTGAGAAGTTTTGACTGACTGCATATATCTATTTCTATAGTTCTGTATTCTCTTGCCCCAGATGGCCAAGGCAGGTACAACGGAAGGAGCAACACAATGTTGATTGAATTGAAACAAAAAAAGTGTCAAAAGCTGCTATTCTTCATGTTTGAAAAAAATGCATTAAAAACACTTTTACTGTTTTATTTTGGCGGCGGGCCGAGGAGTGCTGGAATGGATTAATGGCATTTCTATTCTATATATATATATTTGTATAGTTCAGGTGTATTAACGGTTCCGGTACAATAGCATTTAAACTTAAATAACATATTTAGGTTCGCATTTTTGTTCAGCATTAACGTGCAATTCATTTTAATGGAATCATTATTTAACGACACTTGGCCCTACTACCTACTTTTTTTTTTTTTGGTCATTATAGTGCTTCTCAAAGAGCCAAGTATTTTTTGTTTAGGTGGTACTTTTCGTAAAGGACCACTGACGTAGACTAACGGTTCAATTAAGCAGCTCTCAGTATGATGCAGTGCCTGTTCCCCTCAAACTACAACCAAAACAATACACACAATACACGTTACACAATACTGATCTATCTCTTGTTTAGATCTCATTAGGTTGTGCAGCTGCACTTGACGTTTGACATACGACATATTCTCTTCCCTCTCGGTTACAATCTTGGTGCAAACAACCCGATTGTACCGTGGGCCTCATTAGTGCTTTCTCTAATCTAAAGGTGTTGATTGTTGACCTTCAGAAATTGATGTCCCCCTCCTCAAACTAGGCCTGTCTGAGTAAACAAGTCATCTATAAAGTCTGCCCAAGCCATTGTCTGAGTGGAGAATTTGTCAGCAAGTTCTGCTTTTGAACAGATGGCTGTGAATCCACCAAAATTGCAGAGGCCTGATGAATAATTGAGGGGCCACTGAGAAGCTTTGCTACATTATGGAGAGAATTTTAAGGGGTGCGGTAGGACAATGGATTTGCTGTGAATTTAGCAAGTATTTAGGGCATTCTAAGTTTTTATAAATTAAACAAGAGGAAAACTTTTTTCCCCCTTCCAGTTTTTGATGGCGTAATAAAAACATCCTGGTTGCAGGGATAAAATGCAGGTTCTGCAAGCCTTGCCTGCATCAGTGCTCAGACCTGGTCTATCTGATCCTGCTGTCCTCGGTACACGGTCTCCGGGTCCGACGGGGGCCTCAACCGGAATTCGGAATCACAGAAATTTCCATCTCCGTCCACGTTGTGAAGACTCTCCCACACGACCTTTTCTTCTGTCAGGAAGCCTTGATCGGTCACCAGTAGGTATAGCTGACCCTGGAGATAAACAAACACAGGTACAGTAAATAAATGCACTTATCTCTTGAAATATTAGCGACTCGATTTTTTTGAGTGTTTTGAGATACGAGCTGCCGTTTGGGCATTTTTTTGCTTTGACATGCAAGCGCAGACTTGAAATTCTGGCAGTGTATGGTGGCAGTGAACTTCACTCACTTCACAATAAGCAGCAATTTGGCAACTAATGAAGAAACCTCAAAAAAGAAGCTGTGAGCTATTTAATGCCACCCCAGTTGAAGCTTACGCGGCAGCGCTTAGCTTTTCACTCCACTATCTTAATGCTAATTGCGAATGCTAAATCGCATCTATCTTGCGGAGCGCTAGCCCTTGAAGCAATGGACTAAATACAAATGGTCCAGCGACACAGATAATATAACAGTGGTCACTCATACATCCTTTATCATCAACAAAGGAATGACTAATATTAGTGCCATACCAATGAGCTGAGAGGAGATAAGACGCTTCAATGAGCATTGCATCTGTCTGTCGGTTTTATACTCCATCAAGGTTTTGATGCGTTTGAAGCCTTGTGACAAAATAGTTTAATACTTTCGATTTCATTTTATTACTGTATGGTCTTGTAAAGTACAATTTTATGGAGTGCAATTTTTCCCCATTAAAATACAGAGTACAACATGTTTTTTTTTTTTTTAGGAAGAATGGAACAGATTACCGTAATGGCATTCCCATTCATTTCAAAGGAAAAAGATCATTTGAGATACTCCTATCACCTGTGTGCACTTCATACCATGCACTTACCCACGTTCTATTTCTACACATTTTTTGGAATGACCTCCCGCTGAAAGTTTGGCAGAAACTACACTTTTTTTAAATTTTTTTTGTGGACAAGGGGTCATGAAGGTGACGCACAAAGGCTTTGCCTGTATTGGCAAAGCCAATGTGTGATAGTGAATAGTTTAAAAAAAAAACAGTACAAAACGAGTCACTTCCCCTACTGCAGATAACAGGAAAAGTCTGGTCCAGCTGCACCGATAAAATTCCCAAGCAGCTGCATGTAATGAACGGTTTCATGTAGGAACACAGCTTTTTTTTTTTTTTTTAATCGCCTTCACAGCAGCAAAAGCTATGTTGTGAAGACCGAGGAGCTTCAATCAATGAAAATGTGAGAGACAGACTTTTTTTCCCCACATGCTGGGAGATGCTACTACTTGAAAAGAAAAATGATTTTTTTTTTATACTTGCCTATACCACATATTTTTTTAGTATTATTTCCACATATGTATCTTATGACTATTTTGTACATACAACCACTTTCGTGTCAGATAAATCATTAGTTTTAAATGTAGAATTTAGCACATTAAGTGGAGTATAAAGTAGAGGCCGATTCTGATATTTTGGCATCATAAAATTTAACGCGAACAACAATACAACAATCAAGATATCACATACAGGCAGAACATTTGTCTTAAAAAATAAAAAATTAACCCTTAAGTATTTGTCTAACTTTACAACCGAGAGAAAAACTGGCATCAGATTTTTATACCAAAATTTCACACTGTCATTATGGGATGTTGGTAGAATTATGAGGGGGTAAAAGGAATGTCATAAATTTTGGAGGAAGGCAATTTTAAAATGTTGGAAAAGTGAAGCACCGTGAATATGCTAAACACGTTGAAACTGCTATGGGCAGATTAATATAACACAGAAATTTTCTCGAAAATGATGTTGAATGCGAGCCTTTATTTCACGTGTTTCACCTTGTATTTAATCATGGTGCTGAAGTGGTTATTCCTGAAAAACACGCAGAGTTCTCCCTCCTGCACGGTGGATGTGAGCTCACACAGGCCGTGGTACGTCAGCTGAGTGGCCGTGCTGCTCAGGAACTGCTCTGCCACAATGCCTGTCACACACAGGTGCAGAAAAAAAGGATTGCAATTGCTGGCAGAGTATAATGCAATGACAGCGCATGCCTTTAATCTACCATGCATTGACAATCACAACACCCTCCTTACTCATCCAGGAACATGGGACAGAATCTGGAATAGCATTTCCGAAAAAGCTGCAGCACAGCCTGCGGTAATTAAACCTTCTCAGTTTTGATTGACACTGTCAAGGAGGTATTCATGACAAAATATGTTTATTTTTAGTGGCGCTAAGAAGGTGAGTTTTTCATTGGATAAGCGGTTTGGATAAAGGATGGATGGATGGATGATGTGTGTTAATTTTTTTACAGGATTACGCAAAAAGTCATTAGGCACCCTTTTTAGAAGGCACTCTCACAGTTGACCCAAAGTAAGACCCGCCCAGATAACTTTGCTTGGCTAACACATCATGACCATTTCCCACTGTCGGGGAAACTAACTGCGCCTATATGTTGGTTTTGTTACATTTTAAACAAACTGGTGGAGCAAAACATGTAGGCATATACTTGGAGGAGTATAATCTTTATTCTTTGCCAAGAACGACGAATAATACTGAAGAGTTGAAAATGGCATAACTCTCTCACGTGACAAGACACATTGCAGACAGCCGCTCAGGAAGCCCAATGTTGAGTGGGCAAATACTCAGTGTCCAAGTTCAAGTGTGCTGGTGAGGAAAGCATGACTTGTGGAAGTAGGTCACCAGTGTGTCGCCACATGCACGTCTCGCTTTGATTCACACTTGGCTGGTGGTTTGTGTCAAGCGGGTTTGCAGTGGCGAGTCCATTAGAAATATGCACTGTACTGTCATGTGCTTCTTAGTGGACTGATGTTATATATCTCTTAGTTCCGTCTCAGCGTTGTTTCGTATTTGCCAAGCAATAAGTGAAATACATTGCTCCACCACTAGTCACGAAGAGCAAAAATCTGCAGGTAATCAATGCTCCCTCCAAAGGATTTATTAAATCTTATTAAATGGAACAGTGCTAAAATGGTTCAAGTCCTACTTGCAGGAAAGGAGCTAAATGTGACCTCTGGAAGTTTTGAATCTGATCGAATGACCATGACATGTGGGATCCTCCAGGGGTCACTCCTTGGACCCCTTTTGGTGTCTGTATTATTATACCATTGGGTCAAATGCTTCAGAACGCCAATGTTGGCTATCACAGTTTTGCAGATGATACACAGCTATACATATCAATGTCTCCAAATGACATCAATACAATTAACATATTCTGGCACTGTCTAGAGCAAAGTAACTGGATGAACCCAAATTTCCTTCAAAACAAATCAGGGATAATTGTTTATGGCAATAAAGAAGAGAGGATTGCTGTTTGAAAAGACCTGGAGTCATTGTGTTTCGAAACCAAAGACCAAGTAAGAAATCTTGGGTTTGGGTGGGAGGGGGAGCGGGGGTGGGGGTGTCGAGGGACTCAGGCCTGATTTTCAACAATCTTATCAAATAAATCACTAAAACAGCCTTTTACCAGCTGAAAAACGTATCCAGACTGAGGGGTCGCATGTTCCAAACAGGTCTGGGGAAGCTTATCCTTGCTTTTATCTGCAGCAGACTTGATTATTGTAACAGTCATCTGAATGAATTCAAAAGAGTACCAAACAGCTGGAGCTCATTCAGAACACTGTAGCTCGGGTTCTGGAATATGCTGCCAACAGATGTGAAGTCAGCCCTGAGTGGAAATGCTTTTAAATCCAGGTTACAAACGTTGCTTTTTCCCCATACCTTGATTAAGGTCTTCTAAACATTTTAAAATCTTTTTTTTGTTTTGGTTATTTATTTATTTTAAATGAAATACACTAATTTCTTTACTTTTAAATCTTTTTGAAGTTTGCTATTAATGTGTTCACATCTTGTCAATGTATTTCATTGTTATTTTATTTGAGTCATTTTGGAAGCTGGTGACATGAGATGTAAATTTATTACAGTATTTATATTAACCCGTCCTATCCTACCAAAAACAACCAGCAAAAATTGTTTTTTTTTTTTTTTTTTTTTTGCGTCAATTCAATGGACGTTGTGCCGCTCCTTCTGGTGTGCGCTTATTGGTCACGTTCGGGCTGTGCAACTCAGACACACACGAAGAAGAGTTTCACAACCGACTCACCGTTCTTCAGTAATAGTGGTCATTTTTTCGCAAAGGATAAAGAATATATCAAGCCAATGACTAGAGCTGACTAGAGCCAGGCGAAATGACGATTTGTATCGTGAAGACGACAGAATAGTTTTTATTATGTCACTTTTTTGTGTTTATTGTCATTTGTCATGTACAGCAACAGTGAACAAAAAGAATGGAAGAGAAAGCATGCATGATGGTCAAAAGCTTTCACTTACTATACTTTTTGCACACCGCAACCATTAGGTGGCAGACTAAACAATAACTCATGGAAGTGAATCATGACACAGTCATCTTACATTGTAATCTTATGATGCACAATTAAATCTAACAGTACACGAAAATTAATAAGCTGGGTGAATGCAAATAATGAATATTACTACTCTGGCAATGAATTAAATTAAAAAAAATAATTATTTACAACTATTTACAAAATAGGGTACTTTAAGTTATGCTGGCTATTCCTTCAAACAACACAAGATTCGAAATCAACAGTTTTGCATAGTAGTTTGCGAGTCTAAATTTGCATTTTGTGCCTCATCAAGACATAAAGAATAGCATAACAGACAATCACCGATTTTTAAATTCTTTTCTATCATTCAACAGTAGAGAAGGTCCCAAGAAGCGTTACTTGGCTGCTTATGTCACCCAGAGCGTAGCCAATTCAGTCGGAAACATTTTTTATGCCTTTGAGTTGGACTGATTATCTACAATTGTGCACAATTATGTCAGCTACTGTACCTCTTGCGTTCACGTTTGTTAATTTTATAGAGCTGCGCTAGTGGGTGCATTTCTCATTTGCTCAGCAGTCACAGTCTATCGAACAAAAAAAAACAGAATAACTAAAAAAATATTGTAGTACATCGTTATCGTGATATAAAATGCCCTATATCGTGTTCGATTTTTTTTTCCAACTCGCTGAACTCTACCGATGAGTATTGTTAAATTGTTTGTCTACATATTTTGCTCCATTGTTTGTGTCCAATTATTCGTTGCTTAAAAGGTTTTAACTCCACAGCATCGTAAGTTGGGTCACGAAGCACCAAGGCATTAGGATTAACTCGTTGAACAGACGGGAAAATTGTGGCGCGCTTTCATGGCCAACAACTAACGGGGAGGGGGGGACTTGTAATGTGTTGCAGTGTAACAGAAACGGGGGAGGAGAACAAGAGGAGAGCCCGGAGAGAGACAAACTGACCTTCGCCTGCCAGCTCACTGTTGTCTGACTGTTTACAGGATATTATCTTCTCCACCAGCTGGTTGTAGCTGCAGTTGCCCACTGCCTTGACAATGTCACACATCTGCAAAAACAGATAGACACTGTGGGGAAACAGTATTTGCCAAGAAATGATGTAGGAGACACAAAGCTACTATTAGTCGCGACCAAAAAAAAAAAAAAAAATGGTGTTGAAACAAGCACCCTGCCGAACATTATGAAGTACCACAATTGTTCTAGCTCATTTTCACGACTGTGAATGGTCAAGCCATACCTGGGGGTCCACCAGCCAGCCGTGGTAGAGGGGGATGTCCAGCAGATCGAACACGATGCATTCTGGAGTGTACTCAAAAACCCGCACCCCTGTGAATTTCACATTCACATCCAAGCCCGTCTGTAGTTTGTGCAATACTGCCATGGCGTCGCTCATGTTCTAGGAGGAGAAAAAAAAGGGAACAGATAGGGGGATAAAGTCATGTTAACTTGGGTTCAACCATCCATCAACCCAGGCCTGCGGCTGTCGGATATTTGCAGAATTGTGTGTTCTCCCAATAATCCCACCGATCAATTTTTTTTTGTATTATTAAACACAACACCAGGACCCAACTGATTAATCCACTCTCTGTTCAATTGGCAGATATTAGCTCTTTCAATTGTTTTCTTTCTTTTTTTTTTTTTTAAACACAAAACAACATAGGACAAATGCGGTTGTTGGACTGGTGTGCATTCGAGCCTGCACGGTCCACACTGATAGCAGCCCATTGATTTTTCTACCTTTACCAGAAACCATTAGCTAGTTGACAGTTATTGCTTTTAACAATAACCCCGCCTCTCTTCGTCGGGTCTGTCTGCTTTGAGCATGTGTAAACTCCCTTTGATGACATACATCTGACATGATAATGCAGTCCAGCGGCTGCCTAATGAGGGCTGCTGAGCCCTGCAATCAACAGGATGATCAGTGGAGAAAATTGAAACCAGAAGAAGAAGAGAGACGTGCTAATAAGACATGAATCAAATGATTTGATTAGTGGTTTATCTCCGTGCATGTTCCATCTGTGTCAAATAGGAAATCAGACTAAAACAAAGTACTTCACGATGTTAACAATCTGTGTATTAAAAAGTCTTGCAGCAACTCACTGGCCCATGTTGAACTGCTAACATTGACCCCTCACAAAATGTTACTTAAAGAGAACATAATTTGGTCTTCTATCAACTTTTGAATGTAGCAGATGTCAATGGATGGCTCGAAAGTGAAGGCAACGCAATGTTTCGTGAAAAGCGGTACAGTTTTTCTACTCGGCAAAAGTAAAAAGGCATGGAATGAACAAATTCCTCTCTCTTTGAAAAGCATCCATGATTTTGACACGGTGAGCATCAAGTGGTGACTTTTCATTACCTTGTTACTCACACACACATCTTGCTATGTAGGAGTATGGAAAGCGAGTGCCAGGTGCCCACACACCGAAGAACCCGATGAATCCGAGTCCGACCCATTCTAGCGTTCTGCCCCGAAGCATCTCCCAGCTGGCCGCAAGCCACGCTGCCATTAAAGTCTGGACTCAAGATAAGCCCCGCAGCTGAGCCCTACAACTTCGTTCCGACAATGACATCTGTGCGCTTCAACGTTTTCATTACACTGCTGAGAGGAAACAAGGTAAGCAGATACTCTGTACTGTACAAATTGAATCAGTTCCCCTGAGGGGGTACGCCTGTGCAATCAGACGCAGCAAAAAAAAAAAAAAATCTTCTTTTCAAAAGATAATCATTCTTAGTTTAAGAGAGATAACAAAATGTTTTTTTTCAAGTGTTTTACAGTTGCATTGTAGTATACGGAGTTCTTTCTCATACTTTTTTAAACAAGGTAACCCAAATATTAGGACACATCTCTGTATGATACCGTGCAATTCTACATCGTCGCAAACTACAACCACACTTCCTTATGTGTACTATTAAATGAATGCATGAATCCAAATTTAACAGTAATATCTGACAGAAAAGTAAATTCCAATGTTTTATGCACACATTTACCGTATTTTCCGCGCTAAAAGGCGCACCTAAAAGCCTTCCATTTTCTTAAGAGCTCACAGCGCGCCGTAAAATCCGATACGCCTTGTGTATGGTCATTCCGGTAATATTTCGACCCCAAAATGGCTCCTTGCTCGAGACATGCTGACAGCGCAGAGTTCAAACTTAAGGGGGTTCAACGTTAATGAGTCAATGTTACAACTTGCTGTTGGTTAAGTGAACTCTGTCACTGCTTTATTAATTCAATAAGTTTTACTGACATTTGATCATTCTGTTGGTCTTTCCTTGAGCGTAGCTCCATCTAGTGGATGCATTGTAGATTGCATCTTATAATGCGGTGCGTCCGATATATGAAAAAAATTACAAAATAGACCATTCATTGAAGGTGCGCCTCATAATCCAGTGCGCCTTTCACTGTGGAAAATACGGTACTGCTATTTGGAACAGTTCATAATTCCCTGTTTGCGCCACGGTTGAACGTTTTGGCCATAATTTCATCGCCAAAAGAACACCAACAGCGCCTACAGTGAAGCACGGTAGTGACATCGTGCTTTGGATTTGGTTATCTTTAGCTGCAATTCGGGCCTAGGACAAGGTGAAGGGAATAAAAAGACAGTTTGAAATAGCAGTCATTTAGCATATAACCTTCAAGCTTCTGATCGGAAAAAAAAGGAAAATTGTTTACCATTGGAAATTAAATCACATTTTATTTTCAGGTTTTATAACCCAGCTCAAGTGCAATGTAATGACATTCATGTTTATTAGTTTACATTGGAGTTGAGCACCAAGGCCCCGAGCGCGACTTCATCTTTGATGGTTGATGCAGTGACTGTGTCGAGGTGGAAATCCTCGATCTGACAAATGAGAGAGCATGCGGATTAGGATGCTGGCGAGCTTCACAGACGTTGGGATTAGTTGAAGTTTTGTAATGGACCACATCTGGTGCATCCAACATCAGATGGAAACCAGCAGATGATATGATTAGCGCCGCATCACTGGCACTCATCTGGGCTCATGAAGGATCCCAGCGACACGCGGTCATTAGCAACACAACAGGCTTGAACTGAAACGGTTGGGTCAGAGTTTCACACTGAATTGTTCAAATTCACGAGTCGCTGACATAAATATCCTACTGTGCAGCACAACGTTACTGCGCAAGATGTAAGGAAAACCATTTGAGCATGTTTTTTTTTCATATCCAGCATAAGGTCCATATTAGGGCTGAACTATTAATCAAATTCAAATCATGGAATGCAATGTTGAAACCGCAAAGGATCCACGTTTGAAAAACAACACGAAAACAAAATTCCGCTTCATTTCAGTTGGTCGGTCGGCTATTTTTTTAATATACAGTGCATACTGTATATTAGGGGTGTAACAAAAACGGATTTGAATCAGAAAATCGGTTTTAACCAAACTGAATCGAATTGTTACAATTCAATTGTATCGCTCACCGTTTATCTAGATATGTAATGAATCGCCTTTTATGAGAGATGCACACAGGTATAAATCACAATAAATTGGTTTTATGTTATATATATTTATTGCTGATGATTTGTTGTTTCTTTGAATGTAATTAAGTTGAATAGATTGGGCTCCGGAGAGCACATCCATCTCACAGTGCAGATGTCCGGTGTTCGACTCCAGACTCCTTCCTGTTTGGGATTTTGCATGCTCTCCCCGTGCTTGCGTGGGTTTTCTCTGGGTACTCCGGTTTCCTCCCACATTCCAAAAAAATGCATGGGAGGTTACACCAAATGAACGCTATATATTGTCCCTAAGTTTGACTGTGAATGTGAATGCTTGTTAGTTTATGTGTGCCCTGCGATTGGCTGGCAACTGGTTCAGCAAAATGAAATAAGTCACAAAGTAATTAAGCCACAGATTTGTTTCCATTATTGTTGGAAACTGACTTCGGATTTCCTGACTTGTCCATGCCGCACTTGTCGTGTCGTCGTGAACGCTTAAGAGAGAGCATGTCCAACTGTTTAGTAAGTTAACAACTCCAACTGAAGTCGATGAACTGTGTTTCACATTAATTCATGGTTCATTTGTCTTTATTTTAGCATCAGGCTAAGCTATTACACCAAAACATTATTGTTTATTGGAATACAGATTAATACATGGGAATATGGCCTTGGAAATAAATATTAAACTGCATATGAAATCGCAATCACAATATAAGTCCATATACTAGTGCACTCTTTCGTTTCTCAATTCAGCACACTAGTAGAATGACTTGGGCACATGAATAGAACGGCTGAGTCTGAGCTGACCGTATTACTGGAAACCGGTTGTTTGGTTGAACAACTTTAATGGCACAATGTCCATGCATTTTTTCGAGTGTGCTGTGGTTTGAATAAGTACTTGTGGGTACTACATTCAAACAAGGGAGAAATCATTCAAATGAGGTTTATGATGGTACGTTTGCCTTGCAATAGTGCAGCTCAGCTCCACGGAGACAAATACACATTGCAACACTGGACTCTTCACTTCCACGGCTCCTCTGAGTAAATATTAAACAACCGCTAAAGAGCAGCGACTGCTATTTTAATCCTCATACACCCGTGTGACAAATGACGTATGAACACGGATGTAAAAATAGAACTGTTGTGAAGTGCTGGTGTAAACGGTTCAATCCAACATGCAATGAAAACAAAAATCCTTTCAGAACGCGGTGAGCAGGGCACACATTCACAATCCGTTGATCAGTTGTTCTTTTCATTTTGAAGTTGTAATCAAATTCAATTTTAGGCTCAGGATCAAAAACACAAAAGAGAAAAACAGGCCACGGGACTACGTTTGATTGGAATATTTAACTGGTCAAGGGAAATGGAAGATTGGCGACGAGCATGAGTAAAGATATGATACAGGCAATGGTTGAATAGTTTTGCATTAGATTCAAAAACAAATTCAGTGATTATTTGTTTATCAAAGATATGTTCCAGGCCCCACTTTTGATCGGTGAAAATCTAGACCACATATACAAACGAAGGAGCACATACGCAAACATTTTGGTAATACTGTATAATTTTCCCATTCCCACACGCTTTAAAAACATTTCAACTTACCAAAACACACTTTTTAAAGTATTCCTTTTTAACGTATTTGTTCCTTTATTGTAAAGCTGAATCACATGAGAAACGCCACGGATGGGCAAACGGAACTTAGCATAAATGTCACAGTAATTTTAACTCTCAAATGATTGCTACTTTCACACACGGAGCCTTCAGCGTTAGTCACAGACATATATTCGCTCTACTCTGTGACAGCAACAACTAGTAGTGGAGTTAGTAGGGGCCTACTCTGCCTCTTCTCACACTAATTAGTGCTGCCCGGCAAGTTGTGGCACAATATGGTACTACAATGAAGGTGCACAACTCTAAATTCGGACTTGTATTAAATTGAGGTAGCGGAGGTGCACAATGAGCCACGAAATATTTCATTTTGACTGCCATTTGAAAATGGAAAGAAAAATATGATTATACACACTCTGGACCTGAGCTTCCAGCACCGCCCACTTCTGTCTGCAGCGATACAAGTGGCGCATGGACACCCACATGCATTAGAGCTCCCAGGCCAAAGTCTAGGATTAGACTGCCATAATTACCGTGCAACGCAAAACTTGAGCCTCTCCCTGAAGACGCTGTTGATTTATTTAAGAAGTTGCATTTCAGCCCCGCTTAAATTTAGAAAGCCGGTGCCACTGAGCAACTGAGCATCAGCGTGCGAGCGTGCTGCCAAAAATTTCTCCTCTCCTTTAAAACGTGGCTTCAAATCATCCACAGATGTGCTGCTGGAGCAAGGACAGGCCGCAACGTAGGCAGGCCACAGGAGATGGGAGGAAGCAGAGGAAGCGGAACTCCATCTCCGATCCGAGTTCCTCGCATGGTGAACCGCACACACAAAAACATACAAAGCAAACCTCGGTAATAGCCTGAGGCGGAACCCAGCCGTGCGTCTCGAAGCATTTACCGCCACTGCGAGCGACATCGCGCAGCCCTGACCTCCGTTGTTCACCAATGTCTCGCAAGACGCATCTTATGTAAGAGAGCGCGGCGGAGAAAGAGCCGCGCTTCACTTTTATGATGTTTTGATAGCAAACTCTGCGTAAATGTTCGCAGTCGAGAACATTCTCTTCTCCCGCGTGTTTTAGTTTCTTCTCTAATGCAAATGAGCAGGTGGAAGTGCGACTATGTGGAAGTGCTACTGTGTGAAACTGCGTGATATTTTAAATGTATTTTATTGGTGATGCATCACTGCTTATTCAAGATTTTTTGGGATTAAAAGAAAATATATATTTTTTTCTTTTCCCCAGTGGTCCCTAACCACCGCAAACAGCCCCCCTCATATGTGTGGGCTCACTTACTAATCTATAATTGGTTCTACTTTCTCACTTAGAAAACGACACATGCACACACAAGTGTGAAGCCTCAGTTAACTGGTTCCCGGTGTTTATATTTGAATTGAAAAATGTTCTTAACCCTCTCCTGGTATATTTTGGATCCATGACATGGGTCATGTTTTGTTTCAGTCATTGTGTAGCCTTGGTGTTGACCGTGCTCGTCAAGTACCAATACAGTGAACCCAGGCCATGCGTTCCTGAACGACCTGCGACAGGTGAATGTCGGCAATATACAGATACAAAAGCATTTTGGGTTTTTTTTTTTCTCCAATTTTTCAATTTGTTGTGCATGTCGCTGGTGTCAGGCGGAATCCTTTTACCTAAAAAAAAAATCATCACTTTTGAGGAAACTCCAAAAATGCAATCTTTATTCAATCATTAACAATACGTTGCCAAAGAGAGCAAGCCATTTTCAACACTTACCGCATGTATGGACTAGAAGTGCATACGCTATGGCAGTGGTCACTTTCTATTTATTGATTTTTTTTCATAAACTGGTGCTTTGCTCATCAACAATGTGATCTTTGAACATACACGTTTCTCAACTCACCTAATGTAAAAATTGATCTGAAGTACAGGGGAGGTGGGGTGGGCTCTGACTGTGTTTGACTGAGCCAAAGTGTGATCATTTGCGTCTCGTGGAATTAGTGACAAATGGAGCTCGGGCTGCCAGAACTTGAGTGTAATGCACAATAAATGACCATCGAGACTTCATACGTGCGTCGTGCTAATATGCTTCAAATGTCTCCGTACAACTATTTCTTACTTAGCATCGAGGCTCTATCCCCCGGTCGCTTATGAGCAGAATGGCGAGGTGACGAGTGGACAGTGCAAATGCTGGACAACGCCGAGTCAAGGATAAGACCGTCTTTTTTTTTTGTCACAATTTTCTTTCCTGCTCCATCAACCACATATGAAAAATAAACTTTTTAATGTATTTATATGAGGAAAATATGAAAATACCAACGCAAATACAGATGAGGTTAAAAAAATGTACGGTATGCAGTGCACACATTTGCTGGGCGCTGAGGGGGTGGGAACACTGTGCAATGGTTCAAGTGCGCAGCTTTGAGAGAACATCGTTTGTCACTCTCATGTAGCGAAATAACTCAATAGAAATATTAGAAACAGCTCCCACCGATGCAGTGTCATTCCACACTACTGCAAAATACAGTACAACTGCCAAGAGGTCTTCGAAATAAAAGAGCAGAACAAAAACGACTTCCTGCATCTTGGCGACCACACGTCAAACTCCGCATGGGCTCATTTAATGACTGCATTTACCGATGACGTTGAAGATGAAATGGAAAAGCAGAGCAAAAAGCTTTTGGTTTGAATCCGCGCAATGAAGAGCATAAACATACCTGAGTGTCATTTCTTTCATTCAGTGCTCTTGGCAGCAAGCGTTGACTTTAAAATGTTTTGCTTTGAAGAAGGTTTTCAAAATATCCCCAAAAAAGCCTGTCAGTATGACACAACGGCGAGCCACTACAAACTTCAACCACATTGATAAAACTGATCTTTGAGCATTATTTTCGATAGTACCTGTCTTTTGTGTCAAAGGTGGAGCCAATCCCAGCTGATTTTGGGAGAGAGGGGGTAAACCCTGGACTGGTCGCCAGCCAGTTGCAGGGCACATATAGACAAACAACCATTTCCAGCTAAGTCTTCAATGGATCAAACGCATTTTTAGAATGTGAGGGATTTAAACCTCGAACCTCAGTAGTCAGCATTGTGAAAAAGACATGCTAACCACTGCCTGTTGTGTGTACGTTATTAGTCAAAGCATATTCATTGGTAATGTTGTCTATTGATCTGGAAGATACTGTAAGTACGACTTACCTGTTCATAATTTAGGCGCTGGGCCTCCGAGATCTCTTTCGGTTTGGTTTCCAGGATGTAGTCTCCTGCCGGGGCGCAAGAAGAATGCTCAGTATGGCCAAGACAATCACAGCGCTTAATAGCAGGCTGCCTATTACAGCATCGTTCAATACTGCAATTCCTAACCCTGCAAAACCAAACAACTTGTGTGTAAAACTCATTCAAAGGTCTTTTTTCAGAACCTGGGAACTGCCATGCACATTTTCTTGCAGCTAGCATTATGTACTTTAAAACCAATCACAAGCTCATACTGTAGGTATTTAACCTTGTCAAATACTCGTCCCTGTATGTCCTCAAACACGTCTGCGTCCATGATTTCTCAAACAAAATCATTCCTAAAGCTTTAGGACTCCAGCGAATCAGAGTGAGAACCGTTATCCACAAATTAAAAAAGTATGGAACAGTGGTGAATCTTCTAAGGAATGGCCATTCTATAGAAATTACTCCAAGAGCATTTTGATGACTCATCCAGGAGGTCGCAAAGGGCAAGAACTAAAGCAGTGGTCCCCAAGCTGTGCAGTCCTGTACCAAGTATCCCTGCAGAGCAGTAATGGGCCGTGGTCAGGTGGGTGAGGACCGCTGATTGAAAGAACTGCCGGCCTCCCTCACCTCAGTTAAGGTCAAGGTTTCATGACTCAACAATGAAGAAAAGACTGGGCAAAGATGACATCCATTGCAGAGTTTCAAGGCATGAAGCACTACTGACCAAAAACAACATAAAGGATTGTCTTATTTTTGGCAAAACACATTTGAATGGTTCCCAAGATTTTTGGGAGACTATTCTATGGTCATCACATCAACAGTCGAACATGGTGATGATAGTGTGATGTTCTGTTGCTGCTTTGTTACTTCAGGACCTGGATGACTTGTAACGTTTGATGGAACCATGAACCAAGAGGGAGAATGTTTGGCCATTAGTTTGTGACCTCAAGCTGAAGTGCATTTGAGTTCTGCATCACAACGATCAAAAATCACATCAACAAGTCAAGTTCGAAATGGCTTAAATCTGATTGAAAGGCTTTGGCATAACCTTTAAAAGGCTGTTCACACCTAAAAAAAAACCCCAGTGCTGCTAAATTAAAGCAATTTTGCAAGGAAGAGTGGGCCAAAATATCTCCACAGACATGTGAAAGACTCATTGTCTGTTATAGAAAACACTTGATTACATTTGCTGCTGCCGAATGTGGCCCAACCTGTTATTAGGTTTAGGAGAAACTCATTTTTTCATACAAGGCCTTGGAGGTTTGGATGTATTTTCTCTCTCAAAAAAATATAAATAAATAACTGCATTTTGTGTTAACTTGCGTCACCTGACTAAGATTGGTTTGACAAAGAAAAACATTTAAGTGTAATAAACATGCAAAAATAAATAACTTAAATAACTTAAATAAATAAATAACTAAATACTGAAAAGGTCAAAATACTTTCTCGGCACTGTATTTTATATGAACATTTTAGACTTGTCTGATTTTGAAGAAAATGATTTTCTTGGAGTTGTCTGGTTTTATGATGAAATGACAAAGATCTCTTTGAAAGACTTGGCTGAAAGCTGAAAACAACAAATTGAAAACAAATAATAACTGACTAAAAGGGCTGCGATTGGCTGGCAACCAGTTCAGGGTGTACCTCATCTACTGCCCGGAGGCAGCTGGGATAGGCTCCAGCACGCTTGCGACCCTTGTGAAGATGAGTGGAGTAAGCCGAGAGTCAAACAACAGCAATACTTTTTTTAAATAAAAAAAAAAGAAAAAAGTGGAACGTCCGCTTTTGTTTCATCCACGTTTACGTACATATTTCTCCACTGTCGACTTTGTTACTATTTGAAAGTTCCATTGACCTTGTTGCGTAGGAGCAGACAGCCGCCTCTCGAGCTTGGCTTGTTATCCCACAAAAAGAAACGGCAACTGTATTTCCACTACATGATTCACAAATCTGATGGAAAGTAATTATTTTTCTCAGAAAAACACATTTGTTCAGAGTATTTATTTGTTTTGATTTGAATTTGTTTGGATTTTTTTTTCTTTTGTGCTTTTTTAAGGATGATTTTTCCAAAAACTTTATCAATTTATAGTGTCGTGAGAGTCATCAGCTGCGCCGCACCAGGAGAAAGGCAATCATCTAAATACAACCCACAAAGGTTGAATGGAGGCAACTGGACTCTTCTTGTTTGTTGAAGACACACAGGTGAACCACCTTCAACAAACAAGAAAAGTCCAGTCGCCTTGATTCAACCTTGATGGATTATAATGCCATGAATGACTGAGAATCCATACAGACATATCATCAAAATATACTTTTTTTCAACTCCAAGTGTCACCCTGAGGCAAAAGCTCACTGGTGCTCAGTGCACCAGTGAGCGTTGGTCTCCCAGCTGACAGCACAATGCACCATGAGCTGCTGAGTGACGCCCACCACCCTCTGAATCATCTGTCGCCATTGTGTCAACGCACTAGGACGACAGATTGTGCTGAGATTAGAGTCCTCCCGATATTTTCATATAAATAGTGTGGCAGAACATTGTCGCCCAAAACATGCACGTTAAATTAGTCCAGGAGGCACGGTGGTCAACTCGTTAGCATGTCGGATTCCCAGTGCAGAGGTAAAGGGTTCAATTCCGGATCCAGCCTTCCTGTGTGGAGTTTGCATGTTCTCCCGTCCGTGCCTGCATGGGTTTTCTCCGGGTACTTTGGGTTCCTCCCACATTCCAAAAACATGCATGGCAGGTTAATGGAATGCTCTAAATTGTCCCTACGTGTGAGTGTGAGCGCGGATGGTGGTTCGTCGTCACCTGTCAGCGACCTCTGTAACCCACTTTTAGGTCCCGACCCAAGAGTTGAGAATCACTGCACTAGTGTATATGTCATACATGTATATTTTGTTTTTTGGTTTCATTTTTTTTTTTACTATATTTGACTTGAGTGACTCAAACTACTTGGCCAATAAAGTTGATTTTGATTTTGATGTGTCCGACCAGAAGTCACAAACCACAAAACTTGATGCTATGCTCGTCATAGACATCCACGGCTAAAACAGTAACACTCACCAAGATACTCCATCAGTTGCTCGGCTGTAATAATCTCCATCATCGGAGGCATTTTAACCTGTGATAGAGACATCCGTAAAGCAAACATGTTGGGTATAATATGCAACAGAGGTGCAGTGGGTTCAGTTTTAACACATCCATTTATTATTTTTTTTTTAACCTCATTAGAGTTGCGGGCGAAATGTGAAAATTCTTATGAAATAATTATATAATATAATATTAAATAATCTTTCTCTATTTCATCAATCTATGCCTATGACATATAGTGACAGGCATGACAATGAAATGCTCTTCCTCTAGATGGCAGAAGGTATATGCAGTAATTATCCCTTTGATGCATTTTGGTAACATTTTTGTTTGGTGGTTTGCTGGAAGAAAGTAATGTTTGCTCCATGTACAGCACTGTGTATACAGCGGTGGTTGTTTTAAAGTGCTCTATAAATACATTTGAGTTGAGTTGAGTTCCTCGCCATGGGCGGTCACTGCAGCTTACTGACAAAAATGCTTACTGTCCATAAAATCCAAAATTTTGCAGTGATCCTTATAATAATTTCTGAGGTTGATGAATACTAAAGTGATGTGTCTCGCGCACACATAAAAACAATACCTGATGTTACTATGGCACTTGGCACCCGGCCGTGAAACGAAGCTCGCTGTTACAAAGAGCAAAATTCACTGGAAGTTTCTTAACGGAAGTCCCGCACATACTCGTTTCGCCATGAGAGTACTCGGGAATAAGGTGGATATTTAAGTGCAGCATACAGTTGCTTACATTAGTATATATTAAATAGAATAGTCACTGATGGTGCAGTCGTGGTGCATCTGCCTGACCTCTGTGGAGGCAGTATGGATTCTGTTCCTGCTCTGTGACTGACATTTGACCAAGATTAGGTGTAGTCTGCCTTTCACTTGAAGCCATTAACTCAACGTGATCCTGAACAACATACACGGTAAATAGAAAATGAATGGATGGAAACAAACCACTGCCTAAGTCGAGCTCAGTTGTATTTAACCTTTTAGTACAACATTTGCATTTGAAAAGAATTGCTTGTTTTAAAACTTTTAGTAAAGTGTAGGATTGCTTAACTTTTATGTGCATCTGATTCATCAATGAATTTTCAGATATTTAACCGCAGTGATAATGTTTAAACGGTGTGTAGTGTTAAAGTGGTTAACAATATTATCATTTTTATTTATTATGTATTTTTATGAATGAGGTTTCAAGGTGCATGGTTTACCTTCCAGGCAAGCAGGAGTACGTTCATGATGGCCAGCAGCGGACAGGGCCCGTTCTCGTTCTGGGTGATGATCGGCGTGTTCTCCTCCCTCCACTTGATCCACTTGATGTGGTAGATCGACTGACCGGCCGCTCGGTCCTTGGCGCACATCGCCTTGGTGCCATCCAGGCTGAACTCGCCCTGCAGGGCCAGGGCGAGCCCTCGCTCCTCCAGGCCCTCGCTGTTCAAGTCAGAGCTGGGGCACGAGTTGAGCTTGGAGAAAGACTCCTCCAGTGAGTCCAGGCTGCGGGACTCACACCCGCCGAGGCTGGCATCCGGGTCCGGGTCGCTGCCGCTCGCCAGCCCCTCGGATAAGGCGTGCGGGGCGCTCAGGTCGTCTGGGATTGTCCTGCCCGGACACAGATGGGTGGGTTTGGCAAGTTTGGTCGGCTCGATTTCTTTCTCGTCAGCACCTGAGGACGGCCAGTCGGTTTGGTTGTTTACTAACTTTGAGGCACCACCCTCCTTATTTGGATCCGATCCCATCCCGTTAGTGATCTGCTGCTCCCCAGTCCGCGAGCCACTCGAGTCGGCGTGCTTCCTCGCCTCCTGTCCAGCCGACACTTCCAGGACCTCCACTAAATCACACCTGCCCACGCCGGGGTTTACATGAAGGGTGCTAGGCTCCTCATCGGTGCTGTTGTTAGAGCGATCCGTATCCTGCAAACTACTGAGACGAGGCTCACTATTTGTGCATTTCTCCGCCGCTCCTTTCCCGCCTCCCGAAGCAGGAGCGTCGCCTGTGCTCGCCCCGATGGTGTCGCTCCCGACGGGGTCTCGATGCACGTCTGCATTTTTCTCCATTTCGACTGTCGATAGATTCTAGCTAAATTGCAGCAGTACATTCGGTCCAAAAGACGCCATGACAACTCTGCCGGTGACGTCATCAGAATGAATATTTTTCAAGCCGACTAGGAGGCGCTCGAGACGCAGCAGTCATGTGGTGGCGCGTTTGTGGAACCTCGGATCTTCGTTTTTGCTTACTATTTACGTTGCTGTCTGTAGTCCACTTGTGCCCTTTCGTATCCACACCTGTTATTTCTGACAAATACGTGGTACTTTGTGCCATTCAGGTGCATGCTTTAGGCTCCGCCAAAACAAGCAAAACATACCTTTTAATTATTAAATGGCTGCCAACTTCACATAAATTGTATAAATGACATAAATAAAAACCAAACGTTCGTAATTTTCAAAAAGACAAACACGTTTAAAAAAACGAATTGAAAAAAGATACGTGTTCACATTTATCACCATCGTTTTTTAAATCTTTTTTTTTTTGTGTGCCCTGCTTAATTTTGTTGACGTTGATAAGGACCAGAGGATGCCTTCTCTGCATCCTGAGCCACCAGTGTAAGAGCTAGTAAGGGGCCCTATATGAGGGCCAGGAATCCTATCCCGTCATGTCGGTGCAAGTTTTAGAGTGCCGCTTCAAGATAGGCCAATGTCAGGTGTATCTCAGCGTTACACCCCTACTCCCCCGCAGTAACCTGGTTTGCCTTGTTGCGATGTCTCTGATCACCATATGTGAGTAGAGTAGCCAAATATTGTCAGCGACAATAAAATGGTCTTAAATTAACTCTTTGTTTACCCTCGTGGAACAGCGCAATCGGCTCTGTAGGCAAATCATCGAGGACCTCGACGTGTCAAGTTCAGTGTGTACTTGTTGGCTGAAATGTGGATATTTTTCGGAAAACATGACAGCACACGGCATATAGTTGCTGTTAATTTTCATAATCCACCTATCTGTACATTTTCCATACAATCCTCACTCTTGCTTGAGTTTGAGCTGGAATTGGAGTAAAGTTTCTGCCATGTTTCACGTAATTACTTTGAAAAATGTTCTTCTATCACCTGCGGGGGAACGAAGACTATATGCAGTCATGTGACTCTGTTTTCTTTTAGTCAAATGTGCGTAAAAAAGTCAGGTGACACAAGTGTTTCTGACGAACCAAAATCGATCACCCAAGCAATAAATTCCTGCAGATTATATAAAACACCCGGGAGCAGAATGTTGCCTCAAACGGCATTTACTCTATCCAAAAATAGTAAAAGTATGTCAGATATGTTGCGTTCAAACTACTTTGACAAGTACAATTTATTTAAAAAGTGCGGGGAAATAGCGTGTTATTACTGAAACAATTCAGCACATATTAGGAGAGCGAAAAAAGATCAAACGGGTTTCAAAACACTGAACCAGGATTTTTAGATTAACCTCCTAATTTAGATGCACGAACTATTTACAAACGCTGGGAGTCAGCATTTCCTGCAGTACTGTATACACTGATCTGAGTGTACAGACATTGCTCATCGCTCCCTCACTGTTCAGACGATATAAGATCAACGTATTTTTTTCATCACAAAATATAAATAGTGCGTTATTGCATGTTTGAGTTGTTTTATGCATTTTACGAGAGAAAAGTCGTTACAATTACAGTAAACCTTATTTACATCAACCCCAAGCCTTTCTTGAAAATCACTACCTAATTATTACTTTGAATAATATCAGTTTGATAAAAGCAATAGTAGTAGTAATAGATAAAAAAATAACTAAAGTTCTATTGTATTGTATATAATATATATAGTATTAGGAGGTCTCTACTGTTCCTCCCCAAATTGTCAAACCCGGAAGTTAGGATTTGCGGAAGTACACAAGAGGGCGTAAACAAATCAATATACAGCGACGTTGCGTGTTTGTTATGTCACGCCTCAAGCCAATAACCTGTTTCGTCGCGTGTCCCTTTTTCTTTAGGCATTTTTTCTTACTGCGTGGTGTGCTTTAATTTGACGTTAGGTCTGTCCTCGAATACAGTATAGTAAACTGTCGGAAGGGAGGCGGCAGTTATACACGTGACGTCACTCTGCTGGAGGAACGCAGAGGTGTCAAAGGGGTTGATGAGCAGCAGGACTAGGAAGCGCCACTATTTCGACACAACTAAAAATTCAGCCGAACTCTTACTAACCTCGCCTACTAAATTTTTTTTCCTTCCATCTAAAGGCTTGTTCAATATGATATTGGTTAAAGTGCTCCTCACGTTTTGCTGCATTCTCCATACCTCGGGTAAGTTTTTCTTAACGAACTTTCAGGTAGTTCCGAACTGTCTTCTCCCTTAATAGGCTATGGAAGGAATTTAGGAGCATTGAGCATTTGAAAATGTCGTTGATATCTTTGGTATCCAGTTTAAGGACACTAGTAGGACTGTGTCTTGCTACGTACCTACATACCATTTCTGTACAGAATTAGCTCTCTCATTGTGATTATTCCACTTGAATGTTTTCATAATTGTATGTTTTAATTACATGTGACCTGGCAAAAGGTATGGGGAAAACATTGTGATACTTAACATTTACTGTGATACTTTACAGTACAGCTGCTTTCTCAATAAAATGAGCAAGCAAGATGACTCATAGGGAAAAACATCAGTACATTGTTGAAGGGAGCCCAACAGATTTGTTTGAAATCTTAATTCTGTCCTCTAGAGTTGTTTGGACTTGTTGATTTTAGCATATACTGTAGTCGCTTTTGATTCAGAGACCGTACAACGCCTTCCATGTGCAGTAAGCTCACTGCCTACAGTGCTCAGTCATGTCTCTTAAAAAATATTACATTGGCAACCTTTTGTGGTATATTGTGTCAAGGAAGAACGGGGAAGAATCAATTCAATTTTTGAAATAGAGAAACAGTAGAGCAGCAAAGGGTTGATAAAGATGGATGAGAGAACAATAGGCACAACAACAACCACAGCAATTACAGTAATAGTCCCATTGTAGCAACAATGGTGATACCGGCGTGCTGAAAAACACCACTGTCCTCACAGCATCATTCAGTCAGGCCGCAGCCTTGTCTAATAGGGAAAAAGTGCTTTACACCTGTCTTGTGGCATCCATAAGCAATTACAAACCTTTTTGGGTGCGCGTCAATTGCCGATTTTTGCTATTTACAGCAGGGCTCGGTCTCTATCCGACTCAATAGTTTGGGGTAACCTTAAAGCAGAATAAACAAGGTCAACAATGCTTAGCCAAATGTGTTCATCTGCGAGGGAAAGTTTTAATTTCAAAGCAATGTTGTTGAAGCTGTGCCAGAACGTTGTAAAAGCCCATGAATTCAGCATACATTAAAAATTCTCATTTTTGCTTAGTCTTGGTGAGCCTTGTGGCCAGTTTTGTTTTGAATTTTACAAAATCAACACATTTCATTGTTAAAGCACTGCTTATAGCTTTCTGACAGTCGTCTAAGTCTTGAGGACAGGTAGAGGAATCTGGTTGTGTGAACATTTGTCTCTTTTGTGGACAAGTTGCTACGAGCCTGTATCAGCCTCTGCCTGTCAGGCCCTTGCTCCATGGAAGCTTTACTTTGAAGCAACAAAGCAGCCTGGCAAGGTAGAATCTCTCGGGCTTTAGGTTTGATGTTGGTATCGTTACTCTTTCGTGTCACTTCGCAACAGAGGAAACATGATCTCAAAAGGTTGCACCCCTTATTCTCAAAGCCAAGTTGCAACCCTGTTCCATTTATTCTCAAAGCACTTGTTTTGGATGAGAATTTGGGCTGAAATGATTAATTGGATAACTTGAGTAATTCCATTAAAAATAATTTTTCTACATGGCTACACGTCACTGCAGACTCAGTTCAGAAATAACATAAATATACAATAGCACCACACTGAAAAGAGTGTGTTAAAGACAGAATAACATGTCTTCTGCAAAGCAGAACTAAGTAACCTACCACAACAACATGTTTACGATAGGTATCGATGTTAGCTCATTTACAGTTAATATAGCCTAACCCGCTAGTTAGGGTGTATTGTAATGCCCCCACAAGTGTTCAAGGATAGACGTGTGTGTGTGGTATCAAACACTTTATGGAATAAAACAATAACATAATAAACATGTAACGAGTACATTCATACACAAACTTCTATGGCCACAACCGATGGCCAGTCACTCAGACATCTTACAGGCTGGCTAACGTTTGAGTCAACAGCCAGCCACTAAACCCAAGTCACAACAGCCAACTTTACAGTCTTATTCGCTGACTCCGATGTCACTCAGCAGGCCACGCCCCACCTTTTATAGCCACCCACTCAAAATCACAGGTATTATAGTGTGAAATGTGAAGATGGCAACACCAAATTTTCACAATAACTGCCCCTCACTTGACCCGCACGTTTTTTTTTTTGTTTAATAAATGAAAATGTCAATTGGATAATTTGGAGACAATTCAAATCTAAAAAAAATTTAATTGCTGCAGCTCAACCGAGAATATAAATCAGTATGTAACCACCTGACCATAAGTGGAAGCATTGAGTGAACACAGTGCCCTTCAGTTCTCCTAGAAAAAAAAAAAAATCTTCAAATCACCTGATGTGCTTCTTCTCATGTGATCCTTGTTTGAGGTTTAAATGGACCACATACTTTGTTGTTGCTAGAAGACCACACAAAGAACAATAAACTGGTCAATACAAAAGCCAGTAGGATTAACTTGGTGGCATGTGTGTAAGCTAAACAAGCCTGTTAAGCATGGCCACTGACCCATTGTACTATACCTTCCAAATACTGTGTTATCCTCCAACAGACATCATATGTGTAAACTCATGGATGACCAACTCTGTTTTACGTTGTGAAATTGCACATAATAGTGGCTTCTTGTTGAAATAGTTACGCTGGTTATTTCTGGCCACTCTTTAAATATACACTTAAAATGGGGATCGTTTGGACAGTGTTGTCATCTTGTACATGAAACCTGAAAACCACAAAAAAAAAAAAAAAAACCACATTCTTGGTCGTCAGGTAAACATACCGCCAGACTCTGCAGCCATGACAGCGCAAAGATAAGTTTTTTTTTTTTTTTAAATCTTCTGTCCAGTGTCAGTAAAATAACTGGTCATTTCACTGTTGATGAATGGCATTTACAAAGTATTTTCAGCCAGACCCGCTGTTTTCTGGATATTTTCTTCATTTATAGCACCTGGTCTGTTTGATTGGTTGATTAGATATTTGCATAAAGTGGCACTTGAACTGCCCAACGGGATATCAGTGAAAAATGTTCCTTTTGTGTCTGGAATTTTTACATCGCCTTTGTATTTCTTGCAGCCTTGTTGCAAAGACCCTTGAACAACTACATAGGCCATTATGAGGGTTTATCTTACGACACTGAGGCCCTGCACATGAGGCACCAGAGAGCTAAGCGGGCACTCTCACCTCAAGATGGTACGCTGCACCTGAACTTCCATTCACACGGCAGGTCAGTTGGAAAACAAGCACACACCCACCATTACTTCTTTCAGGCTCACACACGTTGTGTCTTTCTGAATGGTGTGACTGTGTTTAACCCCATTACTTAGTGGGATTTACTGAAATCAGAAATTAATTCATGTCATACTTGGATACAAATGTATCATATATCACAAGAAAAGAATGATTCCTGGAAAGTTTTTAGTGCCCAAATTAATTGCTAAGAGCAAGATGAGAATCAGAGTACAGTTGTTGCTCCCACAACAGTTTATTTTCTCCGGAATCTCTACATTAGCAAGTGCTTGGATCCTTTCGCCAGGCCTATATAATGCATAAATGTTAGTGAGTGACAACCTTCAATTTTACAATTTGGCATTGATCCAAATTAGGTTCATGAGAAATCCTTGGCATTTTTCTATTGTACTCTTGCAAATATTTTGATATGTCATGTTGTTAACCTGGTAATTACATAATAAAGAAGGTAGGGAGTTATTGATGTTACTGGTAAATTACCTTGCCTCAACATAACACAAAAATGTGGACAAATTGGCTTGCTTTCTTAATTTTTTTTCAGGGTTTTTTTTTGTGTGTGTACACACACACACACACACACACACACACACACACACACACTGATAAGATAAAAACAATATGCACTAGGGATGAACATTCTACAAAATTTCATTGACCGACCATGGGGAATATTAATGGCAAAATAATCAGTACATAGAATTAATCATGGTTTATTGCTTTTCTATAGAATGGGATGATGATTGCCATTGTGCCATGGTGTCGGTCTGTGTAGATGTACTTCAATTTCACAAAGCTGTCTTCTTTATCTTGCAAAGCACTTGTTAGTGCCTGCCATTTTGTCTCAACTGCTTCAAGACCTGATGAATTTCTAAACAACAATGAATAGTTTATTACCCCTATGCCTAGTGCACAGTTGATAAGTCTACACATCGTTGGTCATACAGCTTGCCAAATTTTCTCCATGACAAAGCCCACAATGCCGAGGAAACGTTCTGCACCGGCAAAGGCACTTGAGGAGTCGCCAAAAAGGAAGAGGAAGATGCTAACTATTGCCGAATAAGTTAAACTACTGGACATTCTGAAGGAAGGTAGAAGTAATGGGGCTGTAGGGCGCCATTACGGAATGAATGAATCCTCCATTTGTTCCATAAAGGAGGAGGAAAATAACATGAGGACAACAGCAGCAATAAGTTTTAACAAGGATGCAAAAGGGGTCGTAACTGTCCGCAACAAGACCATTGTAAGGCTGGAGTCTGCTTTAGCTTTGTGGATTAATGACTGCAGGAAAATGAACATTGCGCTGGATCGTTATGTGTGAAACGCTGCGGGTTTCATGATAAAATCAGGGCTCATTTGTTGGTCTAAAAATCCTAGAGTCCCGAAAAACAAAAATGAGGATCAAGATTTCTTATTGAAGGACTAGTGCCGTGCATACACCATTGCATCATGTCTCCAAAATATTCAGAGGGCCATTCCGGAAATGAAAACTGAAACTTTGAATGCCTGCTGGGGGAAAAAAAAATGGCCATAGACAGTGCAAAACCTGACCGCGAGATCCCTTGATGAGATCCATCACTCCGCGGTAGATACAGCTGTCAATCTAGCTCAACAGTTTGGAGAAGACGGCTTGAATGACGAGACTCCTGAAGACATTAATGCGCTGATTGATGTGCGCACACATCCATTGACTGATGATGATCTGGCAGAGATGACAAACCCGCCAAGTGAGGATGAGGGACAAGGGGAAAAAGAGGACTCACAAAATGAGAAGGATGGACCAACAATTGGTCGCTAGGCAACCATTGTGAGAATGGCCTCTGAACCTGAAACAAGCGGCACAAGAATGGGACCCTTTGATGTGTCGTTCATTACAGTTTTCAAATATAATTGAAGGTGGCATGTCTATAGGAATCTTCTTACCCGGAAGAAAAAAGAGCCAACAATTACCCCAAAGTATGTTTTTTCATCAAAAGACACTTGCACCACAGCCTTCAGTGGCAAATGACGCTACAGCGGGGCGGAGTCAGGACGGAGAGGCTAACTCTGAATAACATTGAAAGCTGCGTGAGTCCTTATTGACTATTAAAATTATTATTTTACAGTACAGTATTTCTAAAAATTGTCAATTATTTGTCAGAAATCTCTCTCTCTCTTTCATATAATATATACAGGTGTATATATTATACCGGTATATATTTAAATTTATATGTAATTTTTGTTTTAGTGCTTGGGCCTGAAAAAAATATTTAACTTTTGGTTTCATTCAATCCAGCATTTTATACGTAATAATTGTAAAAAATAATGATGACTACTTCACAGATTTCACTTCTGGGTGCTTTTTGGAACATAACCCCCACGATAAACGAGGGATTACTGCCTCACAAAAACTTGACGTTTAAACATGGGTGCCTAGACTGTTGATGTCCACTATTCTTACATCGTGCATATATTGTATAATGGTAATTGTGTGGATAACTCTGCCCTTTGCAGCACTGTGAAAATACCCTTTTCTTTCCTCGTCACCCACTTCATAGAATGTTATCTAGTTCCCCAAACCAGATTACTTTCCTGTGCACTTGTGCTCCTTCCTGTCAGTTGGGCAGCTGGTGCGCTTGTATTTAAGAGATAATCACAGCGTCGTTCTGTGTTAACTTTGTCTGACGATGTTATGTGTGAAGGAGACCGAAGCAGTCTGAGATTGCTTTCATACAAGCCTGCACTTTAAAAGTCCAAAAGTTAAAATGTTCTTTGTGCTTAAACTGGTTTGTCTCTGTCATTCTGAATAACTCTTGAGGCTGCCTGCCACCACAGAGATATTGTAACAAAAGAAAAGCCTTCTTCACTTGAATATGATAGCAGAATCTGGTGCTGAATGAACGAGGAAAACTTCACAAAGGGCAATTCATAATGTTAAAATGTTTCCTGTCATTTGTGGCCTCACTTAGTAGGTTGATGTCAGGACCTGTGACTCCACCAGCTCCAGTTGACCATGCGCTTAGTTCAGCGTGTCTCCTCCATGCTCCTTGAGAGCACCTTCATTTGGTATTTGTATGCTTGCCTGCTTATGGCGTTCAATTAATATCGAATTGTCTTTTGATGTTGACCACCAAATGAAGGAAGAGGCCGCACTCCTCCAATACTTTTGGAGGGGAGGGTATGTTGAACACTGTAGTTTCTGGAGACATGTTCGGGGGCTGTCTGGGTTGCGCTGCATTCCGAGTAGTCTTGACTGTCAACTGATGATGTGGTTTTAGCGTTTGTCCCGTGTCTGAATAATTCATCACTCTGCTTCTTGTCCGAGTAGAGCAACGCTGAGCCGGCTCTTCATTTCTGTACAGTTTAAAGCCATGCACGTCTAACATCAAATTTGGATAAGTTAGCTCTAATGATGATGTTACTGTATGTTATTAATAATTCATTTTAATCATTTATATGATTAACATTACTCATGTGGTCCTTGGGAGCTGTCTGATGCCGCCACAGGCACCACTTTGGCAACCCCTGTTGTGCATTATAAATTGATAAACATTCTTTTCATGTTAGAATTGAAATATTCTACAGGTATAAATGAACATGACACACAGGAATTCAGATCAGAATGTGAGGGGTTTTTTCTCTCAAGTCGATGCTGGTTATTACTCCCCCTCAACCCCTCCCCGCTATAAATCAGTGAAAGATCTGTTCATTGACTTGTTTTATTTTTTGGTGCGGTGTCTGGAGTATGTCTTGAATTTTTATTTTCGCAGTTGTGATTGATAATGTGGGAAAATGCCAGCATAATGCTCAGAATTCTTGGCATGGCTTTTTTCAAAGTCCCTCGTTCAGTTCTTAAACCTTCCAGGATTGGGCAGCATGCCATAAATATTTCAGTTTGTAGCAGGACTTGAAATTCCTCACACTAATACCTGGCATATGAAATGAGTTTCAGAAGGAGTGCTGTGTTAGTCATGCTGTACTTAATTTTATGTTTCCGCTTCTAGAGCGTTCTCACTTCTCTCTCTAGTGACACAAACCTCAGAGGCTATTGTGTTCCATTAGTGGACACAGACGCACTAATGGAAATCATTGTAGTTGATGTGGACTTTTTCAACCATTGTTTATTTGCTACATTGTGTTGAAATAAAGAAGCCTTGTGAGAAGTCATTGCATTGCCTCAGGTTTGGGCAAGTCTCCATAGTTCATGTGCACTTCATGTGATGTGGTGGGATGTGATTTGAAAGCGAGGATTATGAAGTCTGAACTCTGGCTCTGTGTATCTGGTTACCCTCACGAGATATTACACTTACTTATCGAGCATTCATGCAGACACAAACAACGAATAGTATTTCTTCTTTTACTACTACTGTGACTCAGTAATATTATGTTATATTGTTATATTATCTGTGTATATGTGTTTCTTCATCGTTTGTATTTAAATATCCAACATTTTAACATATATTATCTGAGCCATTCATCCTCACCCCGGTCATAAGGGTGCTGCAGCCTCTCACAGCCAGTTGTTTCGAAAACTGCAACTATTGATTCTAACAATTAGCCTGTCAATGGTGTTTTGCATTGTTTGCTAGCATCAAGCTAAGTGGACATCACTACGGCGTTTAGTTTTACGGTCACCTTAAGATAGGATTTGCATTAAACAACTCAAAGCCTGTTTTTGGATGAATTGTTCCATATACTCTATACCAAAAATGGCACTTATGGTTGAGTGAATTAAATGTAGTTCTTTGCTATCATTCAGTGCCCCCATCCAAAGTTGGTACTCGTAAATCGAAGCAAAAAATAGGCTGAACGACAGCTCATATCTTGATAAATGTATAAGCCGGGTCACTCCTATATTAAGGCACCACTGTATTGAAATAAAAATGTCTCATTGCTAGAATAACCCCAGTTCACATATGTGGGCCATTGCTGACACCACCCAGCCATGTTCTGTTAGCACTAGCGCCAATGCTAATGTCCAAAGAATTGGCTTTGATAGTTTCTGGTCAGTTGACATCTATTCTGGCTGAAAATAGGTTGCACTTGATATTGTCCCTGACAGAGAACATTTGCTCCAAGTCACTCTACCAAGGACATACAATAAATCCCCTGAGAAAGCTCCTAGGGACAAAAAAAAAAAAAAAAAATCTGAAGGTGATGGCTCAAGACGGGGAAATGAAATGAATTATGTTTATGTATGTAGACATAACCGAGATTGATTTATTGATTGTTGTTCACGTCTGCATTCGAGATGTGTAGTTTTGTTGATGGCCCTTGAATTCATCTTATACACTGTTGAAGGTGAAGGTTATCTTACCTTATCTTCTTCTATCCTGATACTGTATGAATAGCCTGCATAGTTTTCTTTGGATGTATTCCATTTTATTTATTTCTGTGTTGGAAATGCCAAACATTCAATTCAGTGACTTAGGGTAATACCGTTTGTGTGAAGTTCTAGTGTGCATAATTGTTTGCCCATGTCTGATGTCAAGCCAGTTTATGCTAGTAAAGTACCCATAGCTAATTCTATTGATGAGCCTCTTGTGAAGTTGGTTTATTTGTGTTGGATTATTTCACACTGAATACAATTGTTTATTTAACAAGGGTTCATGGTTGTTTTCATGCTAAATGCATGGTGTTCGTGCTTTATGATCCTCTCAACTTCAAGTGCGTTGTTGTCATCTTGTGGCGTTTATTTTTTAAACGTATTTTAAGGGGCTGTCTGTTTGTGGATTTTCACTCTTCATGGCAGTGCTTGGTCCCTACTGCCAAGAGCGGGTTACTTTATATGATAATGTTATTTATTGTTTTAACTACTGGTACACGTAATACTGTACTTGTATGCCATATTTAGACATTTCAACCTGCAGATGAAGAGGGACAGATCAGTGTTTTCTCCAGATGTCGTCATGGAGGTATCAGGAGAGGAGGAACCAATTGACACATCACATATCTACAGCGGCAAACTTTTAGGTAGGTGCCTAGTTATTTTTATCACAGCACAACATACAAGCACTTACTAACTTGTGTTCTCGACTGATTCCCCTTTTGGGCGCACCCCTGCCGTGTGTGTGTCGTTTGCAGAGTTCAAATGAACCCTATATCCTGTTTGTCAGGTTTGTGTGTCTGCGATGGGACGGAACAGAATGAGACCAATACATTCTCTTCTTGTTCAGGGTCTTCCCCTTAGAATAGTTATCTTCATGTTATCTGAGATGATATACCGTGCATAATATTATGAATCACTGCACTTTAGGGTGAGGCTCTGTTATCATTGAATGTGAAGAATGTGGTATTATGAGAAACATTTATCTCAGGCAGCATGAAATCATCATGCCTGCTGTTTTAATTAGCAAAATAATATAACACTCGGCCAATAAGAGAATATTATTTGTGACGATGCCACCATTGGGCACACTCACAGTTTCCTTAACTCTGCTTCATTTGGTGTCCGACGTATTTCAGGTGAAAATGGGACATTGAGCCACGGATCTGTGATCAACGGGAGATTCGAGGGCTTCATTAAAACGCGGCAAGGAATATATTACATTGAACCCTCAGAAAGGTACTTGGAGAAGAATGTCCCCTTTCACTCCATCATTTATCACGAGGATGACATAAGTAAGTATCTCTCTCGCTCTCTTTACACTGAATCTATGGTTTTGTTTGTTGATACTAAAAGCTACCATATGAGATTTTTAAGGGTTTAATTCCATTGTATACATACTGTATATAAATATAACATGTATAAAATGTATTTAATCCAATCAAACCATGTTAAAAGCTACAGAAGTAAAAACAAAGTAGAGGTCAAACAAGAAATAAGTGCGCCTCATAAAACACACTAGAATGAAAATCTACGATAGACCCAATGGACTGGAATGAGTCTGACAGGGGCTCCACCCTGCCTCAGGGCATTCTAATCGCTCACCGCTGAATAGTCTCCTGTGCAAATGCAAGGATGTACGGACATTGTGAATGTACAGTGGTACCTTGAGTTATGAGTCACCTGACTTTTGACTTTTTGGAGATGCGTGATGTACTTCGGCCCAATTATTTTAATATTTTTGGGGGGCATTTTTTTGGGCATTTCACGTTTTCTAGTTCACCAAACACAACACAACTTTGAAAGTCTGCGAGCTTAAGGATAATACAACCTGCAAAACACTAAGGACAGGCTAAAAAAACTAGCTTGGTTTTACAGCAACTCATATAAACAAACAATATACGGTAACCATAATCACAAGCATATCTTTATCCCGTCAGAGATTCCAGATTGGTACTGATTGACTTCTCCCATTAGACTGCAGAGACTTCAGACATTGCAGTGTTGATTAGTACCATTCACATCCTTGTTTTCTGCCTATTTACCAGCTTATCCTCATAAATATGGCTCTGATGGAGGCTGTGCTGATCCATCAGTGTTTGAAAGGATGAGGAAGTACCAGGCATCTGCGGTCGAGCCGTCTGTCAAAGCAAGTGGCAACATTACTAATAATGCATCGTCCCACCTTACACATGATTAAATAAATTCCCTTCACACTACCACTCACTCCTCTACAAAAATATATTTTGCGTGTATGCTTTTTTTTCTAAGTTTATTTTTTTTCTTCAATGTTCTTTTGCTTAGGGTCCAAATAGTGATCATGTCGACGACAGACACTACGGTCCTGTCATTTTTAGAAGGAAAAGAGCAGCGGCGGAAGATAAGAATACCTGCCAGCTCTTTATTCAGACTGACCACCTTTTCTACAAATACTATGGCACTCGAGAAGCTGTCATTGCACAGGTATTATCACATAGACAAGCAAGACGTGTTATTTTTGATGTCTCAAATATGCGTGACCATGAATTTTGAATTAACTTTGGTCACAGATCTCCAGCCATGTTCAGGCAATGAACTCCATTTACCAGATCACAGACTTCAAAGGCATCCGAAATATCGGCTTCATGGTTAAAAGGATCAGGGTGAGTTGTATCTCTCGCAAAGCTGTGTTGAGCCTTCACATGCAAGGTCTGGGGATGAGTAGTGATACGAAGTGATATGACACCGAATGGAGTTCTGACTTCTTTTCTATACCTGCATGAAGTACCTCGATACAGCAACTAAAGCGATACTATGCAAAAAACATCAGTAAAAGCAGTGGCATAATAGCTGATAAAACAACTGCAAATTCTTTGTATTTTTGTTAATTTAAAATAATATTAAATTACTAACTTAGAATACTTTGGGGGGAAATAAATATATAATTGTATTTGTTGTTGAAAATTTGTAAACAATTATGAACATTTGAACACAACCGTGAAAATATTTAAATGCTAAATTTGAAAGAAATACATTTTTTTCTGTATCTTTGACAGCCTCCAAAAAAGGCACCGCCCAATCTCAGCACTTCAGAAGGAGAACGCTATCACAGCATTAAAAAAAAAAAAAAAAAAAAAGTCGAGATTTCGTTTTATTCTGTTTTAGTCCTGCGCAACACTACTGAGATGATTATACGTACATCCCAGCATGCCTTTCTAGAAGAACTATTTCTGTCCTGATTGATGACTTCACCTCTTAGATAAACACCACAAATGACCAGACAGACAATCCATTTCGTTTTCCCAACATTGGAGTAGAGAAGTTTTTGGAGCTCAACTCTGAACAGAACCACGATGACTACTGCCTGGCCTACGTCTTCACTGACAGGGACTTTGACGAAGGCGTTCTCGGCCTGGCTTGGGTTGCCTCTCCCGCAGGTTCGTCACATACATGCAATCTGAATGAGAGTCACTCACTTCCTGTGTTATCTTGGATAGATTTGTGTTTGCTTAATATTGTGAGCAATATTTGCTTGGTAACGAGTAAAGGTAAACAAAAAAAGTACAGCGACAATCTGGCGTGTATAACCACAATAAAATACACATCAACGAAAATACTGCATATTGCTGAAGTGCTTTAAGGATGAAATGATTTGAAGGACATTACCGCCTCCCTAATAACAACATCATTTTGTGCAATACAGGAAAGCACTGTGGACTTTGCTAACTGCTGTATTGCAAGAACATTTTAGTTTTTTTTTTTTTTTTTTTAAACCACATTACAACATTTATCGATTTTTGGACAAGAGTGCAATTTCCTGTAACGTTCGTAATTTCCAAAAAGAGCCACTGAATTGTTTACTGCACTGCAATGGAGCAAATGATTGAGGCAATTTTGATTTTAAGAAGTAGATACCACCTGCCGACCATGGAGAAGAATACCATTTTAATGTAAGAAGTGGAAGCATCTTCTGCTGGCTTTAAAAAGAATGTAATATACGAAATAAAACGTAGTATAGAACTGTACTGAAGGTATGTAAAATTGTCATTGTTTATGTTGCTGCACAACCCACACATTTGTGCAAACAACGTGTAATTAAAAGGACTAATTTGAAGGATTAATACATTAAAATGTCTATTTTATAGCAATGGCAAGAAGTGATAAATCTTTTACACTAAAAAAAGCAGAACAACAACATTAAAAACACTTAAAAGTGTAAAGCCTACATCTGCGTAATGGCCACGCAGAAGTTGAAAGGGCAGGGACGTTGAATAACATAAGACAAGTGACGTTTCATTTTGGTTGTAGTTACTAGTTATACCCTACACAAACCATTCTTGCTGAAAACTAGACCTTCTGTTTAACATTGATGACCTGATGCTGCCATCTGCAGGAGAGCATTTCTCTAGCTTGGTGAGTCAAGTCAGTAATTAAAAAAAAAAAGAAAAAAACAGCCCCATGAATTTGTTGTGTCTTTTTTAATGCTAAATAATTCACCCCCAAAATGATGGAGAATTTATAGCTTAATAACTGGTGGTGCAGGCTTGCATCTGTCTGTTCTTTTTTGGGGAAATTAACTGCAGCAGGAACAGATTGAACAGTGAATTATTATGCTATAAAAAACAAACAAACACATTGTCATTTGTTATTGCTTTGGCTTCCTCTGAAGAGCTTGGAAGAGGCTGTTTGAATGTTCCTTGGAGTTGCTTTCTTAAGGATCGCTAGCCATGACTAGAAACTGACCTCTGTTTGCAGTAGCATAATCACTCAGTGTTGCTCTGACCATAGGAAGCTCAGGAGGCATCTGTGAGAAAAACAGACTCTACTCAGATGGGAAGAGGAAGTCCTTGAACACTGGCATTATCACCGTGCAGAACTACGCCTCGCACGTGCCCCCTAAGGTGTCGCACATCACCTTCGCCCATGAGGTCGGACACAGCTTTGGCTCTCCTGTAAGTGGGAACACACAAAACCCCTCAAAATGCCGGCACCTGTGACATGACCTTTAGGCATTGTCACCAGCAACACATTTGTCTCTATTGGCAGCATGACTCTGGGCTCCAGTGCACCCCAGGAGAGTCTTCCAATCAAGCCCAAAAGGAGATGGGCAATTACATAATGTATGCACGAGCCACCTCAGGAGACAAGATCAACAATAACAAGTTTTCAATGTGCAGCATTGGCAATATGAGTGCCGTTCTGGCAGTGAAAAAGAATGACTGTTTTGTCGGTAAATCCTTACACTTTCAGTGTTTATCAACTTGTTTTATGTTGCTGTGCCACTTTCTGAGCCCTTAATTCATTCACTGCCAGCCTCCCCAGAACACAGCTCCCATTTTGACTCATCTTTCAAGAGCCACTATTGCGTTATTTGACAATGTAAGCGTCCAAACTACCAAGAGAAGCAAGGGGGGGCGTGCGGCTGTAATTTTGGTACTTTACAAACTCCCATTTTAAATGATTGGTTAAATCTGAAAATTATTTGGTGGAAAATTGAAGTGTAAATACATATATATATATATATATATATATATATATATTTTTTTTTTTTTATATAAAAAGGGACACATTTATTCTCGCTGCTCTTGGTAAATGTATTTTAAAAAGATGCTTAAAGGGAAATTTAAATGTGAAATTGAAATATTTGCTGTAAAAAGGGGCAGAAAATATCACATTCTCGCTTCTCCTGGTAAATGTAATTGCAGATGTTAAAAGGGAAATTGAAATGTTAAATGTAAATATTTCCTGTAAAAAGGGGCAGAAAATGTGAAATTGTTTTCTCCGCTCCTTTTTATTCAAATAAACAAAAAAATGTACTTGCCCATATGTTATTCTGTTAGCTGTTTTACATGGTGTTCGTCATTTATTCATGCATTTTTTTCACAATTGCAGCACAATTTCCAATAACTATGGCAACAAATACTGTTTATACAATCCATTTGACATCTTGTTCAAAAACATTTTTTACATTGATGGCAGTGAACTGTTGGAATCCAATTGAAGGCAATTGATGTCCATGGCAGTGAATGAATGAAGTGGCCCAGGGGATAAATAATTTTTTTCTCAACCTGTTGGGGTTTTGTTTTCATTTTGTTGTGTCTGAATGCGCAGTGTCTGGAGAACCTATCTGTGGTAATGGACTTGTGGAGGACGGAGAGGAGTGTGACTGCGGCTACAGCGATCAGTGTACGGACCCATGTTGCTATAACGCCAATGAAGAGGAGGACAAAAGGTGTAAACTCCAACCTGGAAAGATCTGCAGGTCAGATGTGATCAATGCACACAGCCCTGGTTTCAACAAGCTCATCATTATAGTACGCATACATATTTTCCCGTTTCACATCAATCAATCAAACTTTATTTATATAGCACTTTTCATACATACCCAAGGGGAGCTACTGTAATCCACGCTGAATGACAGCTGCCACACCTCCCAGCGTGGAGGCCCCCCATGACGAAACACAAAAATAAATTAAGAAATAAATGAAAAGGCTTGAATTAAAAGAATTCAAATCAGTACATAAATAAGTTATTCAAAAGCCAAGCTATAAAGATGTGCCTTAGTTGCAAGTTGTGAAAAGGTAACGAAATAATGAGCATACACTGTTGTCTATTTTGATTCACTGAGAAATCTAATTTATGTTCCTCTCTACTTCGGTAATCATTGTAGGTTTCACTTACCATACGTCACAACCATCTTGTGGCATCTCTAGGCAATTACAAACCCTAGCACGGGACAGAATTGTTCTACACTGCTCAAAAAAAGGAAACACTAAAATAACATCCCAAATATTAATGAAGGAAATGTTCCAGTTGAAAATCCGCAGGAACTGCCAACACACTTAAGCCACATTTGAACCGGCATCACAAGGAACCCAGGAGACCATGGGCGCTCCCATGGTCTCCTGGTTTAGCTGTCACAAACTCAATATTGAGACTGCATACCTGTCTTGAAAATGCAAATGTCTCAACTTCTACGTTGATTTGTACATGTGAGATGTCAGCATGCTGACAACGCCACTTAGCGCATACGTGACATCAACTAGTCTACACTGCCACGAGTGTATCAGGTTTTGGTCTTAATCGTACTGTGGCTATTAGAATAAAAGCAAACCCATTGTCTAACGAATAAAAACCCTTTTCCCGCAGCCCAAGCCAAGGCCCATGCTGCACTGAGACGTGCTCTTTTAAGAGCACACTTGATGCGTGCAGGAAGGAGTCTGAGTGTTCTTTTCAGGGCATGTGCAGCGGAGCCGGCGCCGACTGTCCTGCTTCGCTACCAAAGGAAAACTTCACCTCTTGCCACGAGGAGACGCAAGTCTGCATCAATGGGGTATGTGACCTTCTGTTTCACATGTTGTAATTGGAATACACTGATTTGAATTTCAAACATACTTTATCCACTTATTTGGTGCAGGTCTGTTCAGGTTCCATTTGTGAGAAGTACAATCTAGAAGAATGCACATGTGCGAGAGAGAACGAAAAGGATGAGGCGGCTGAACTCTGTCATGTGTGCTGCATGGAAAAAAGTGAGTTTACAGTCTGAAAAAACGTCCTTGGATTTTAATGCATGATGGTGTCAGCCGTCGTAACTTCAAAGCTTTAAGGATCAGGATGTTCAGGAAACAAACTGCCTTTTTTTTTTTTTTTTTTTGCCCAAAGTGAACCCAAGCACCTGTAGAAGCTCAGGCTCGGAACAATGGGCCAAGTTCTTCAACAGAAAGATCACAAATCTGCAACCCGGCTCACCGTGCAATGATTTCAAGGGCTACTGCGATGTGTTCATGAGGTGTCGTCTGGTGGATGCTGACGGGCCTCTGTCAAGGCTTAAGAAAGCCATCTTCAATTCAGAAATCTATGAGACCATTGCAGAGTGGATAGTGGTGAGTGTCTTGGATCTGACACATGTACTTCACGTCGTGTATGTATATTTTGTTCATTCCGTATGCGTCTGTGTTGTAGCATCACTGGTGGGCAGTGGTTCTGATGGGCATCGTTCTTATTTTGTTGATGGCTGGATTCATCAAAGTCTGCAGCGTCCACACCCCTAGCAGCAACCCCAAACTGCCTCCTCCAAAGCCACTGCCAGGTATTGCACGCAGTCTCGAGACACACACTGGAAATTCAAATACAGTGACACCTGGTATAGGTGCCACAACCTATGAGATTTTTGAGTTACCCCCGCCCCTGGTGGATGTTTCTTGGTTTTTTTTTCTCTGCAAAAGTTTGACTTCCAAGTGAACGTCAAGCATTTCGCCACATGATGGCAGCAGTGAACTTAACAACAACTGGCCACCATCAGTTCATGTGATTCCCTTGCAGGGAACGTTCAAGCTTATTAACAGGAGCACACAATTAGACAGGATCATGAAAATAGCGTGTTATGATAATTATAAAACTTGAAACAACTTCTGTTTGAACATATGTTGTAGCAACACTTGCAGACAGATCTTACAACAGTACTCACCGGCATATATACACGGATTATTTGTGCCTTATTCACGTTTTTGACCAATCCCCTGGTTAATTTAGTGTGTGTGTGTGTGTGTGTGTGTGTGTGTGGGGGGTTTACTTTGAACTCTGGGCTCGCCTAAATGACCTAAGTCGGAATGTCCGAATTACATGACGAAAATAGTCAATAAAAAAAAAGCATGAATATTGTCCACAATATTAAATTTTGTCATGGTAATTGAATTATTAAGTGATGCATCATATTGTAATTTTGCTGGTTTGTGACTATTTAACCTCTTTGATTGTACATTTATGAAGCACAATATTTGATGTCGTGTTTTTTTTTTTTTAGTTAAAAAAACTTGTTGGGGTCTCAAATGAATAATTATGATATAATACTATCTTATCTTCTCTGTGACCAGTCAACTATCAATTGAAGGGCTTCAATGTATGACAATTTCAAGTGTGTAAAACAACCCCTATTTTGTTTGATTTGTTTCTGTATGAATGTAAGTGAAGTTGCTTGAAACCAGTGAGCCGCTGGTCAACAATACCAAGTGTGAACCGAGTTGAACTGAGCTGTTGTTACCTTGTAGGTACCTTGAGGAGAAGGCAGCACCATGCCAACCCTGCGCGACGTTATCGTCCCAGTGGTGAGAACTACCAAATGGGTCACATGGGGCCCTGAGATCTTTGCTCTGAGCCTGCTGCACCCTTCTTGTGCCTACACCGGAAGCATTTGACTCCCAAAGAGTTCCTGTACCTTTACTGCAAGTCTTTAACAGCAGCTGCCACCGATTCCACGTCTCTGAAGTGATGCAGGGCCAAGCAAGATCACTCGAGACCTCTGTACTGTGATAGCCAGCATACCATAGCCTTACTATGCTTTTAATGTGACTTTACCCGAGAGAAAGGAGGGAGGAAGCTTTCCTTTCAACGGCCTCACTTCACGATCAACTTTCCTTTCAACTGTACTTTTTTGTTCTTCCTCGCTGAGCCCGCAGCAGGACTGCAAGTGAAACTCAGCATTTTACTCCCCAATCAACACTGACATGTCTTATTCCTGCCAATCACGCTTTTCAAACATATCGCCTTTATTCTTTACGCATGACTGTACATTTTTTTTCTACAGGCCCCTTCAGAAGTATCTGAACAGTAAGGCCAACTTTATTTTTGATCTAGACTGAAATGTTTGGGTTTGACATTGACTTGACTGTTTCAGACTTCATCCCTATGTATTTACATCTGACCCATTGAAAGTTCCAAAGTGATGTCACTCAACTTTTGCACTCTTGGATTGTTTTCCAGGCTTTTCCCACTCCATGCTCCAAAGCAGGGGTGCCCAACCATTCTTTTTCCTCTTCGAGATCTATTTTTCAACTTCCCAAACTTCCAAGAGTTCAATGTCGACAGATTAAACCCACACACCTTTCCACCATGCAGTAACTAAACTCACAACACGTTTTTTTTTCTCCCCTTGCCTTACAATCACAAGACATCATGGCAACACGTGCTAAAGCTGCATGATGAGCACGAGCCATAACTGACCAAAAATGAACAAAACAGAAAGAAGATACAAGACAGGTCGATCTGAGGTCGTCACTGCCTGTCACTACCCATCACTGAAATGAAACTGGAAGGTGGAGCATTGCCATCATAGCTGCCATTGTTGCGTATAGCAGCTCAATCAAATGAGCTTTGAATGAGAATAAACCGAAAACAATACCTTAACGGCTCTGGTTGCTCGTTGCAAGCAACCGCTGACCGCTGCTTATCATGCGTAGAAGGTGACCTATTTTTTTCAGAAACAAAATTCAAAATAAAAATGTTCCCGAACCTTCCAAAAACTACCTAAAATAATGATCCAATTCAAATTTAATTAAATGCTAATGTACTCAAATGTTGAAATACAACTGAGTTGTAATTCTTTAGTGTACTACTGGAGTCCGCGTACCACTAGTGGTTTTAGCATCACACTTGTAGAATCACTGTTTTCCCCATCCAGATTTATTTATATAAATACAATCTTGAGATGCTCATCTTGCACTTTTGATGTTTTAGTCCACAGCAAAAATTGGCAACCGTGCTCCAATACTTTGACAGATGGGTTGGGAGTCTTAGAGATGATTGTTTAAAAAGCACATTTTTAAATGAACAAATGATAACTATTCATAGGAAATTATGGGCACTTCCTGACTGGTGCTTGGTCCCCAGAGAAGCTTTCGATACATACTCCATGTTGGTCTCGAATAGCAAATAAAGAAAGGTTGTGTGTCTGGAATGTTAGATGAGCGTTACGGTTGCGGATTAAATGTCGACGTGGCTTTGTTTACATCAAGGTTTTATTGTGATAGACGTGAATGGTGAAATTTCTTTATCACCTTTTTTGTGTCCATTCCTCAGAGGATTTATCTCGCATCCCAGTAGTCGCAAGCAATTCTAAATAGAAACCTTCCATTCATCCATCCTTGCTCTGTCTACCCACGTTACACAAAAATCTGCCGATGAAAGAGTTTTACGTCTCATGCTGGAGGAAAAGCACTGATTTATGTGCAGACCACAAGCTGGCTTCTGGCATAGCAAACTACACGTTTTATTTAGTCCATTGTTGTGTCACGCACCACTGCAGTTTGTTGTTGTGTGAGGATTGTTACTGAGCAGTTCAGACAATGGAAAAGACTCCTTCACTGAAAAGTGCCTTTTTGTTTTCAATCAAATGGATACAAGGAAAATTGCTATTTTATATTGCTGGGTTGAGGGTTTTTTTGTTTTTTTTTTTGTTTTGTTTTTGGTACTTGTTTTGAATCCAATTATAAGTGAAAATGTTTGAAGCTTTGTGTGTGTTTGTTCCTACACTGGACTTTTGAGTGAAACATTCTAAAGTGACAATTGCAACATTACCCGCCAAATGTTCATGTCCATTGTGGTTTGTTTGTTGTTTTTTTTTTTTGTATTATCATCTTTCTTTCACAGGTTTTGTTTTTCTTTGTATTGTCTGAATTCCCTTTGAACTACTTGAAATAGATTATGGTCTTATGCTGGCCATTTTTGTCCACCTCACTTCCATTTTTTAAAAACCATTTTAGATGTGGTATTGCAAATGTAATAAAGCTATAAAATTTTCCAACTCCATGAAAACTGCATTTGGAAAACAAATCGGATTTACTGGATGTACTTTATTAACATTTGGTTATCAATCTCGACTGAGCATGAACGTAGAAGTAATGTGTGAGTGCGTGCGTGCGTGCGTGTGTGTGTGCGCGCGTGTGTATTTTGCCAGATGCCATCAATTTTTGAACAATGTCATGTCAGCAGTTTCCCCAGAGGCATTTAATGGCTCATTGCAGTGGTTCTCAAACTTTAAAGTCCCACCTCAAAAAATACATTGCGACCAACATGAAAACAGCATAGAGGGCCCAACTGTTCGTCAAAAAACAAGGTTATTTCTAAAGCTTAAAGTAAAGTATAAATCTTTTCACACACCACAGAGGAAATTTTGAATGGTTAAAAAAGAAATACATAAAAATCACCAAGTAGGGGAGACCAGGGCTTGTTGTGACACAGGTAAGTTGTCACAATGCAATTATTTTAAAATGGAGTACTTTTTCTTCATGTTTAGATACTGTATTCGTCATGTCCTGTTTGAGAAGAAAATAGCACATTGTGAGCTGTGATGATCAATTAACCATTTTGCACGATCCAAAGTAAAAAGTTTATTTCATGTATTTCGAAAGAAGCGTCTGTCAGAATAATGAATCGGTTCATATACGCCAGAATTGCTATTCGGATGATGAGTCTGACGAGTGATCAAATTTGTCAGGTTTGAGTGTTTATAAACACCGTTGTTGGAACTATATCCACATTTCAGCCCTGGTTTAAGTTTCACGATGAACCAATCCGTTATTTGTTCTAATTGAATTTAATTTGGAATTTTTAGTCTCAGGTAAAATAGGCATTTTAGTTCGCGCGTCGACCTCACAGTGCAGAGATACTGGGTTTGATTCCAGCTCCGGCCTTCCTGTGTCGAGTTTGCATGTTCTCCCCGGGCCTGCGTGGGTTTTCTCCGGGTACTCCGGTTTCCTCCCACATTCCAAAAACATACGTGACAGGCTGATTGAACACTCCAAATTGTCCTTAGGTGTGAGCGTGAGCGCGGATGATTGTTCGTCTCTGTGTGCCCTGCGATTGGCTGGCAACCTGTTCAGGGTGTCCCCGCCCACTGCCCGAAGACAGCTGGGGTAGGCTCCAGGTTCAGAAAATGGATGAATGGATATGCAATTTCTGCAGAGAGCCATGATCTGTAGATCATTTTCTTTGTCACCCGATGACAGCTGTGCGACAATGAGCAGAGAAAGTGATCAATGGAGCAATACAATACGATACGATGACGCGTGTGCTGTTGGTGCGGATAATCGTTGCACTGTTTTTTTTTGTGTGTGTTTTTTTTTAAGTGACCAGGAGCATCAATTGTAGTACAACTTTAGGTGTGCGACTTTACTGATGTCATTGTGCTTGTTTTTGTGACCTATGGTCTTGATTTGTTCAACCCTCGTCAAATTGTTTCACTCATGCGTTTGTGTTTTTGCAACTGTAGAAGTGAAAAATGCCAAAACAGAAATGATCAGTTTATTGCTGATAAGTCTTGGGTTTGATTCAGTTTTGTTGCCTTTGTTATTTATTTTCACATTTACAAGCATAAAATGAAATCGAATCCCTGGAATTGTCAAGAAAATGCTACTGAACTTCCTAATGGGAATTCAGTGAGTTTGCTGTCATCCGATAATAGCTGAACTGGCAAGTTTTCAACAGTTTTTCTCCCAAATGCCGGAAATGTTAGAACACGACCTGACTTTTTCGATTTCCATCTGCTCAGGAAGGTAAGTTGTGATGTAATCAAATATTTCTACACACTTAATAGGCTGCTTCACAACAACCGCACATTCTCTCCCGTTTCTCTCACACATCCACTGCGACCTTCCCAATCTTTGAGCTGCACGTCCTCGGAGCCCAAAGCGAAAACCAGTCCATGGAGCGGTTCTGCCACATTTCGGTGTAGTTACGTGTGCGTCCTCTTTTTGTGCTTCATTCCTGGCTCTTGTTGACAACGCACAAACACTTTAACTTTGGACATTTCCACATGCCGTTCGTCATTTGTCATGGCACAAAAAGATGTCCTGGCAGAAGAAAAAGCACACGGGCATGTGAGACTGTAAATGTTCAAATACAAATTGATAGAAAAGACATCCACGAGGATGCGTTGACGTCACATTGTAAATTGTTCTTGATCACGAATCTGTCTTCGTTTTTTTTTTTTTTTTAATCTACCCCACTGGCTTATCATATATGAACATAAATAGAATATATACTATTGTGATATATTTAGTAATATTTATGAATAAAAGATTAGGTCCAGCAAAATAAAGGTGGATTTTTTTTTTCTGAAACGTCATAGCTATAAATTACAACACATGGAAAAATTTGCCGTTTCCCAGAGTTATTGTTGCATATTAATTGGCTCTGGACCCTGAATGACGTGACTTACTTCAGAAGTCTGAGACAAAAAAAAAATTCTCTGTAAAGGTGCATTTTACAGTCATCCTGATTTTTTTTTTTTCAAGACAGGTTTTCTAAATAACATGTTTGTAAATATCTTCAAATTAAAATGACCATTAAGAGGTCAAGAAATGTAAGCTATTAAGTCTTGACAATGCACAGTTGTGAACTGAAAGTCATTCCAGATCACAAAGCATCACCCGCATCATAAAGCTAAATGAGAAAATACCGAGACGTGCAAAGCTGTCATCTGGGCAAAAGGTGCCTACTTTGAAGAATGTAAATTAGAAAACATTCTGTTTTGAGGATCCGCGACACGACCCCAGATAAGCGGCAAAAAATGGCTGGATGGATGGCATTCTGTTTTGATGAACATATTTTTGTTGACCAAATAATTCCATCAATATTTCTTGACTGTTGACTGTTGAATCTACATGTTCCCAAAATCAGGTGACTCGGATACAAAAAAAAAAACAAAAAAACAGACATCCCTTGAAAAAAAAGGAGGATGTTTCATACCGTTCTTGTGTGTCGCCATCTTTGACGCTGATTTTGTTCACAGTCAGCAGTGGTTTGGTGTCCCGTCCGCCCCACGTCATGATGGTCTGCACTCGGTTCCACACGTCTTTCCACAGAGCCGAACCTTCCCAGTGAAACTTGAGCAACATCAAATCCCCCAAATGTTTGTCCATGGTGATCAGGAAGGTGTACATCTTATTCCCCAGAACCTGCTCCGTGCTTGCCGAGTTGAGAAATGAAACAATGTTACATACGACATCTCATGATTACGAGGCATCACGCAGATTTTTACAAAGGCGTGAATTATTAATTTGTAAATGCTGTCTTGCTTGCAATAATGCGTGACAGCACATGGCGCACGCTTGTGAATGGAGGGTCGTGCTCACAAGGCGAGAGGAATTGCTCCGCTTTCCTCTTTGGTACCAGTGAGGGAGATGCTGAGAGAAGGTGTGGTGCTCTGCATGGGCTGCTCAAACTGAATCCTCAGCTGGTAGTGATAAACTGCACAGGAGGTCATAGAACAAACTAAATTCAAGTCAAGGCGCCATTTCTGCCTGTAAACGGCAAAGGAGATACATGTAGATGGACGTACGCTTATAGGGCATCCTGGAGCGTGTTTGCAGGTAGAGCCTCTTGTTGCGTTTTCCCGTTCGAACTTTTTTGATGTTGTAGCCAAGCGTGTTGCAGCGGTTCCTTCGGCAGTCCAGACAGACGCCTTTGTTAAAGGCCCGGTTGTCGCTGCACCTGTACGCTCTGATCGGACGGTCCTCGTTGAGTACTGAGTCAATGAACAGATGCACAGAGCGCTCGTGGGCGCATTTGACCGTTTGTCCAAAACCTGCAGAATAGAATGAGAATGGGACATTGCTCAGGGGCGTAGCTAGAAATGTTTCAGTGGGGTGGCCAAGCTGATACAACAGCTCAGTGAGGGTTGGCCGCGCATGCGTCTGTTTGTCTTAGGGGCGGCATGGCTCAGCCGTAAAGTGGTCATTTCCCCCTCCCCGGCCATTGCGACCATGTTGAAGTATCCTTTAGCAAGACACTGAACCCGCAGTTGCTCCTGCTGCTGTGTCATTAGTAGGTGAATGTGGTCACAGTGGAAAGTGCTTTGAGTACCAGAGGTGGAAAAGCACTAAAAAACTGATCGCCCATTTACTTGGCCTCCCCTGGCCACCCTGTAGCGCTGATATTGCTGTATTTATTCATGTCACTTGCAGTACTGTGCAAAAGTTGTTTCTGTAGCCTATTGATGCCATAAGACGGTGGAAAATATGCAACGGTACTTTTTAAAAGATTAAAAAAAAAAGATAGTACGGAAGTCGTGACATAATTGAATAGAATGTAAAGAATTAAAACTTAAAAAAAAAAAAAAAAACATCATTTGCTTCTGTTGTTAGCACTTTGGCCACCTGGGGGCAGTATAATACAGCTATCAAGTATCAAGTATGGATATACATTAGTTACTCCTTGTTTTTCTTCGCTAAGGATAAAGAATACATGCCTGTGAATATTGTTATCTTGTCTGTCTACCGGTTTCTACAGAAAGTCACCTTGGAGAATGTTACTCGGGTAAAACAGTTGAAGTATCTGAAAATTTTCTGCACTTAAGTTATCAATACTGATTTTCTAATACAGTATTGAATGTAGTTTACCATTGGAAGTAAAAGTATTCAAAAACGGTGAGTGGCTAATTTTATTTTTAATTATTTAGTTTGTTAATAAAGACTAGCTAACCTGTGTCCTGTGGATAAGTGCGGGAAACGTATCAAAGTAAAAGTATACATCTTATATTGGGGAAAAAAAATTCCCAAAACTATTTTGGAAAGTTGAGATCACAGCTGGCTTAGGCACTGATTGGCCGTGAATGGTTTTCATAACAACATGAAGATATACATACAGTAGGTGGACCTAATACCTGTCTAAGGCTGACACCTGTCACACGTTGACGTTGTCACGTCCCCTTTCAAGTCATCATGTGACTGCGTAGCCTGGAGGCAGCTTGCCTCAGATGCTCGGACCGAGCACAGGAAGGAAAGGCACATGTTGCTAATTAACTCTCGAGCGTGACAGTTGCTTTAATGTGGCACTCACCGTCTTTTTTTTTTTTTTTTTTTGCATTGAGAGGCACCAAAACACCGCGAATCGTCGAGCCGCTCCCGCTCAGCTGGAGGGAATTAAATTCATCTGCTCCAATGCACACAAGGAGAAACTGTCAACACCAGCAAAGATGAACGGGCTCAGTGCATCCAGGCTCCTCAAATCTCTGTTTTGAGGTGGCGGCACCAATTAAGAAAAAACAATGTTATGACAGAGCAGCGGAGGAGGATGCGCCGCAGCTCTTCCTGTCTGACTGACATGTTTTGCCTTTGCACATATGCGCCAGCACGTGACGATATCCCATCCGGAAAAACAAATATTGATCTAGTGAGGAGCCTTGAACAACCACTACAAAACTAATTTCTTTATGATATCCTGTACAGTAGCTATGAATAGCCTACACACCCCTGTTCACGTGCCACTTTATACCGCTACAAAAAAAAAGACGCATCAAAACCCTTTTTCAGCAGTCGTGACCGATAACCTTTTAACTCAACTATTATTTATAGTTATATTTTATATTATAGTTTTTATCTTTTTGAGAGGGGAAGAAAAATAAACTGGAAATACTGCACCTGCGTGTAGACGTGTTTGTAAAAGTGTGAGAATGTGATTGTGATGTTTGAAAATGGAAGAAAGGAAGCTATGAAAGCTTTCATCGTGTAAGTGTACATCGTGTTTTGACCGCTTGTAGCGCAACATACCAAGAAGGCCGTACTGGGAGACGTGCTCGTAGATGTTGTGCAAGTGGCATCCAGGTTGGAAGTCGCCCCCATTGGGGTAAAAGTCATAATGAGCCACAGCTTGCTTGATACCCACACTGAGGCCCAGACGCTCGTGGGTGAACGTGTGAACGGCGTCCACGAACTCGGCATCGTCGGGCGACAGCCTGTCCGTGGGCGACATGCCTTCAAACAACGGCCCGGCAGGATCCAGACCTGCGCAAATGTCAAAGGTCACCAAGAATGGCTGTGCCGCGTGAACACATCTTCATATTTGTCCACATCAAACTCACCAGTAATTCTTCCGATTTGGTCTCGTCCTTTAAAGTGGCTTCCAGCAAATCCAGAGATGTGAGCGCCGAGGCTATAACCAATCAAATGAACCTTCTGGAATGAATAGTCATAGTGCTCCTGTGAGAGTGAGAGTAATAGCAATCTATTACTACTTAATATTACAGGAAGCCAATTCACCATTTATTTCATAGGAGGAAGTCAAGTCAAAAATTCCCTTTGCAACAATATGTTCCATGCGGCCCCAATAGTCTAATTGCGGCATTCTGACTAATTTTGCAGATACGACTACTATTCATGTAAAGGATATCACAGCTTTTCAGGTGTCAACCAATCACGACTCACCTGTTTTCTGAGCTGTGATGTCATTTTTAATCGACAACAAAATCGCTGGCCTCTGAGGTAGAGGGAAAAAAGCGGTTGGATTTTGCTGCTTAATTCATATAGCACAAATGCAATATGAATCAGGATAACGTGTTTAGACTAGTGGGGCCGCATTCAACATATTATTGTCAAGGAAGTTTCTGGCTTGACTTCCTCTTTAAGATCCATTAGTCCAACAGATCCAATAGTAGCAGTACTGTGCATCTGACCTTCTAGTTTTTTCTCCTACTATTAGTTTAGGTATACTCTTTTATATAACATGTATGCAATGCATTTTCATTGAACGGTTATTCCATTTAGTTTGTTTTGCTTTTCCTATTTTACAGCGCCACATTGTTCAAACGGTCGAACTACTGTGCAGAAGTGTCCTCCAGCTGTGGAAAACCCTTCTGGTACCTTGAGTGAGGACAACAGATGCGCAATGTCTTTTCCAACCAGGCGCGTGCTGTGAGCCGCTTTGGGGTAGTGCTGGTGAGCCAGGGACAGCCAGTCGGTTATCACGACGTTGACGTCTCGCAGATGAGTCTTGAGGACGGAGGCCAACCTTATCACCCAGTTTTCCATCATGCCATCCATCTGACCAAAGATCGCAACACAAACTTTTCTTCTTCATGTTGTTGCTAAAGTCAGTTGATTTCAACTTTTTCTTTTTAAATACATTTTGTTTATAGTACTGTAAATGTACTGCTGGGAGCCGTTTCTAATATTTTGTGCCAGTCAGGCTGCAAAATATTAGAAATTTAATAAAAAAAATTTTTAATAATAATAATAATAATAATAATAATAACGGAATAAATATCACAGATTTTTCTTCATCATATGAATGCTTTTGCTGATGGTTGCCCTCTTTGATGGCGCTTTAGCACCTGCCCCCAAAAATGTGTGCGCGTGCCTGTTGAAACCGCGATTGCAGTTTACACCATTGCAGACCTGAACTTCATCTTGTTTTTTCTAAAATTATGGTTACGTAATTTAATTATTAAATGAGAGGGACATTTAACATAGACGGTCAGTATGAACTACAAGCAGGATAATAAAAAAACCTGTTCAATGACTAATCCAATCAAAAGTGAGCATTGTGATCTTTTTGATAGACCCTCATTAAAATGCGCAGGTGTAGCCGCAGCGAGTCGTCCGCCGTTACGCTTCACAAGCGAGCCAGCCGGCAGCGTGACCTTACCGACCACCCGTGAGTGATGATGATGAGGGGATTAGTGGCGTTGAAGCCGCAGGACGAGAGGCCGTGCAGCTGCGGCGGCTCCAGTGTGCAGGTGTCCTCCCTCGCCACCAATAGCCGGAAGACCGAGCTGCTGATGTGGGGCTCTTTTGCCTTCACAGGGACCGTCTTGTCTCCCAGAACGGCCACGTCTCAGGGAGAAAACACACACACACACACACACACACACACACACACACACACACACACACGCACACGCACACGCACAAATACACACACACACACACCCACACACACACCCACACACGCACACGCACACGCACAAAAACACACACACACACACACACACACACACACACACACACGCACACACACACGCACACACACACATACACACACACACACACACACACACACACACACACACACACACACACGCTTATCTTTGAGTAACACAACACGGCTGACGCACACATGTTTGCTCTCAGGTGAATAGTTACAAGTCATATCGAAACAGTATGCAAGGGTATGTATTGATGGAATTATGTGGTTGCGCAGCCATTGTATGAGGCAATTTTTTAAGCATTTATTCCATCGCCTTGATATCAAGCTTAAGTTTCCAGCTACTAGTGCGCTTCAGGTCCTCACGAACGCTATATTGGGCATGAAAGTCATACACAGATGAACTGTACGTAACAAAAGTAGTATAGTAGATTTAAAAATAATAATAATAAAGCCACCATTGCATCATGCAGTTTGAACATGTAATTCAGTGATGCTTTCAGGTCCCACTAGAGGGAGACAATGTACCACCCTTAGAAAATAACTGTACGAGACAATTTGGCACACTAGTACAGAACAATTGTGTTTCGCTAGTAATGTTTATTTTACACCATTCTGTGACAGTTCTGCACACTAGTAGGACAACTGCATGTCACCAATGAGGCATAACTGCGCTAGTTGACACCTAGATGTTAACTAGTGCAATTTTATATCACTAGTAGCACACAGTTTTCAAATACACGTAGTTGTCCTACCAGTATGCAAAAGTCATCCCACTAGTTAGGACAATGAGTGTACCAGTGCATAGAACTTAAACTGGATGTCATGGATCGCGAGTAAATGCTCAAATTGATGGAAAACTGCTTGTGCATTTATACACAAGTACATGGACTTTCCAAAAAGCTGCCTTTGTCCTCACTAGTAAGACAATTCTGTGCACTCGTCCTTACTAGAAATATTTACCTCCACCTTGTGCCACTTTTGGTCTACCAATACAGAATCACGCCCAAAGAGCTGCACTAGGAACACTACTAGGACTAACTCGTAGGCATTTTCCTTGCACTAGTAGCCTTCTTGTATGTTTAAGTTAGACTACTATTGTGCAGAAATGTGTCATATAGTAATGAAAGTCTGTAGTGGAAAAAGCATGTGTTCGATATCCTTAATATCCAGTTTAAGGTCGATGTACTAGTACACTCTACGTCGTCACTAGTAAGACGATTCAGTGCATTCGTGGAATAACTCAGGCACACTAGTAAAAAAAAAAAAAAAAGGATATTGCTAGTAGGACAACAACGTTACATGTGAGGAGAAAGTGGATTGGATTTTGGTGCTTGTAGGGTGCATGGAGTACCTATGGGTGAGGCACTCCTACTAGTTGGCCCAAATGCAGCTCGGTATTAGGAAGGCTTAATTGCATATTAATATTCCAAAAGTGGCACTAGTAGTGGAAAAAACTATTAATATGCTGGTCATTCTACTCGTGCCCCCTAATAAATGCTTGAACGTCTTTCCAGGTCATAAGGACCTCTTTAGCACTTGTCAGCAAGTTCCGTTGAGTGGAACTCTGTCAGGTAGAGAGAGAGGGAGAGAGAGAGAGAGAGAGAGAGAGAGAGAGAGAGAGAGAGCAGATATATATGTGTGTGTGTTTACACGTGTATATACCTGTGTATACATTTTATTTGTTTATACTGTACACACACACACACACACACACACACACACACACACACACACACACACACACACACACACACACACACACACATATATATATATGTGTATGTACGTGTGTCTCTATAAAACACATTAATTCTGGACTTCAATTTGTCAGTGTTTCACTCGTGTGTTTTCGGAGCCGGCGACTCACCGGCTGGATGTCCTCTCATCTTCCTTCCATCTACGGCGTGACATGTTAGCAGCAGACAGCACAGGACTTTGAGCACAAAAAGGGCATCGCACTCGCTCATCGCTCCTTCAGGTGTCACGGTCAAGTCTGGGAATGAGATCCGTTCTCTCGTTGTTTGTGTCAGAGGGGCCTAATCGTGGTCTTGTGGACAAAAGTAAAGTACAGTGGAGTGGAGAAGAGCGAGGCCTGCAGCTGGCTGTATCAGGGGCACTGGGCCTGTGCTGATTGGCTGGCGGGTCAGGACATGAGGATCGAACAGGTTGCGAAATAGCCGAGGTACAAACGGTGGGGAGGCCGTCTGATGCAATGCGACATGACCCATGAGCCACCTTGCATACTGTGCCTGCAGTACTTAGCGCTCAATAAGAAATGAATAAAGATTTCAATGAACGTGGAAATGTCCTTTATTCAGATTGTTTAGCGCTGTGCATGGGCCTCAATTATAAAATGTCTTTCTGTATTTCGGAGGTGTGACTATTGTATCACGATGTGGAGGACTTTACTAGTTCTTTCAGTTAAAATCAAAAAAGAAAAGCCATACAGCATATAATGTCGCGTAGATTTATTCAACACAGGGCAATACTTTCAGAAGACACATTTCTACCAATTTTCCACTTTCCAACTTCTTAAGACTACAAATAAAATCACGAATTTGCTCTCTGTGTCATGCATATACTGTAAGTTGTATATGTTTTCCACCAATTTTGAAATGCACCTGTTTATAGGTCACCATAGCAAGTTGTTATCATTATTTGCTGTCCTTTTCGCAGCTATTTACTCTTCCAAGTCTTGCACCTCTGTTCAATCAAGTAAGCATAGATCCAAATATAAACAAAAAAAAGGTCATTTGAATGTTGATGCTTAGGACAATGCACTCTTTTCAGTCTGGAGATACATTTAGTTGAACATATGACGTCACGTCAACACAATTGTTCAAATACAAACATTTGTGTGAGTACCACTGTTGATTGGCTTACTTGAAATGATGTTCAGTAAATCAATACAACAAATATCAAGAAAGAATCGTGAAGGTCAGCTCATGCATACTCTAATAGCTGTTATAGTGTCAGGTTGTTACTATTAGATGAGCTGTGGATGCACTCTTGGGACTACTTGGCTGTACTCTACATCCATTCCCTATGATCTTATTTAAGCTTGATATAATTGCAGTATATACAAATGAACTGTGCATCCGGATGCTTCTTAGCTCCCTTGTTAGTGTAATGGCGCCGAAGGCCGTCGAGGCATTTTTGCTTGACACATTTCAAAGCATCTGTTAATGTCCTGAAATGGGCTCAGTCGTACTACCTACTTTGTGGTTTTGCCTAAGGGAGTTCCTCAAGGTTACGTTTTAGGACCACTGCTGTTCATGCACTCAAGATATCGGTGTTACAGTGTGGAGACCCTTTTTCATATGGTAAAAAGATCTTTATCGCATGTTCAATTTTCACACTGCATGTTATATCCATAATCAAAATAATGTGATCAGAATAAAGTTGTGAGTGAGTCACACTGAGCCGTGAACGTTTTTGGTGTGCCTAAGGCAAAGGGAGGAGGGTTCAAAGCTATCATAAGAAGCTTTCCAAACAAGCTTTTACCCTCCCACGTCGGAAGTAACTACAACACCATTATTGTATGATATTCATTAAATATGAACTTTAAAATTTGATTCTTTATTTAAATGTCCATTAAGTGCACACGTTTATAAATAATGCTGCTCTTCCTCACACACACACACACACACACACACACACACACACACACACACACACACACACACACACACTGTACATAGGAAATAACTATACGTACGCGTCAACTCTCCTCAGCAAACAGAATACACATTCATGTGGGAATTCTTATCCATATACCGTCAATACATATACGTACGTTTAATATTTCTTAGTCACACTTCAGTTCTATTTTTTTACAGCTAAACAACTACAGTGGTACAGGCTCATTAATGACATGGTAACAATATATCACCGAACATTTTGGTGTCACTTTGACTTACAACTCTCGGGCCCAGGCGGCAAACTGCGGTCCTCAAGGGCCACGATGAGGCATGTTTTAGATGTTTCCCTCCGCCAATACGCCCAATTTAAATGATCAGGATCATTATCGGGCTCCAGCAGAGATTGCTCATGAGCTGATCATCTGAATCAGGTGTTTTGGAGAAGGCAAATATCTAAAACATACAGGACAGCAGCCTTCGAGGACCAGAGATTTGACACCTGTGCTCTTGGGTGCTTGGATATATAAAAGAGGGGACGTGCGTAGAATCATTTAAGGCGGGAGTTTCTAAAAAATACATATACTGTATAATAATAACAATAAAATAAAATAATTAAAAACAACTCCAACTACTTGCAGAGCTTTGAACACATGCAGAAAATAAAGTGAATACTACTGAACACATATTACTGTAATGCATTCGTATGCAGTGGAACCTCCAAAACGCACACAGGAAAATTCTCTGGCTGCTAACTACAACAGCATCAATACATTTGATAGAATTAAATACAGTATGGCAAGGCTTAATCAATACCAGCAATCCCTATAAAATGCCACACAAGGTTGGTACTTGTGATGAGCTTCCCTGTATACTTGTAGGTAGTTGTGAGGTTGCACAGGCCAGAATTGTTATCCTAAGCCAGTGGTTTATAACTTGGGTTCAATCGAACCCCAGGGGTTCGGTGAATCGGTCTCAGGGGTTCAACGGAGCCTCTGCCATGGAGATTAAGACACACGTGACTCAACATGTCAATTAGTTATTATGCGCCCGCTTGGCCATCACTGGCTGCATCACATGACATTGCTTGTCCAATCAGTGCCGCGGAAAATGTAGTTCACTCCATAGTCAACGTGTGACTGTCCTGATAGTATGTCATGCACGGTTCATTTTGTGCACAATTTAAAAAATATATTTACTTTTTTTCTGTTTTTAATAAATGTGTTTTTTTTAATGTCTTGAATTTGTAAAAAAAAAAAAAACATTTTTATTTTTCACTCATGAAGGGTTCGGTGAATGTGCATTTGAACTGGGTGGGTTCAGTACCTCCAGCAAGGTTAAGAACCACTGTCCTAAGCAAAATTTAAATGTTTTTTTTTTTTTTTTTTAATTCATGCAACACAAGATTTTTTTTCACTGTATATTTCCTTAATTCCAATTATATTTAGTTCTTGCTGTATTCTTATTTGTTTATAACGCAATATATTGTAACCCTTTCAGGTACAAATAATGATAACCTGTAACCTGATAACCTGATAAGCTGTCCACTGTAGTAACCTCTGTTCCTGAAAGGGTTAAAGAAAATATGGAGGTCACTCCAATGTGTTTTCCATACATGTGTGCGTGTACGTGTGTGCTGCTTGTATGACACGTCAGATACAAGTGTACTTAAAACCTTGCCTGTACACTTTTTATGATCGAACAAAGTGGCATTAAAATTCGCACGACTTGGAAGCCAACATGAGAAGGTACTGTGAAGAGGTTCCACCATACTTTACATATTTAGGTGCGAAGATATGTAATAGCTACAGTATGTACAGTATTTTTTAATGATCATGCTGTTTAAAAGAATATGGATCTATCTCATTGTGTCCAAACAATACGGAGATAAAATCCACCCTTTTTATATGCAAATATGAATCACTTGCAAGTACAATGTTCCCACTCAATTGTGGTTAGAATAATAGCCTGACAGGTTTGCACAAACAGATGAGTGTAGCTTACTTAGTTTTACTGATAACATCAAAGATTGAAAAAAAAATTCCTGAAATGAACAATTTCCATTGTAGTAAACGCCTTGAAATACTGTACTTGGTATAAAACGATTCAACCACAACATAGTAGTTGAAATGACTTTTTAGCTTCGAAGCTAAATAAGAAATAAATAATATTATAACAGTACAGTATGGTAAATGATTTTCGAAAATAATACTGTTTTCTTCATTATCATTGCCTTTCTTCATTGATTGTCTGGGAGAAATCCTACATTTCTTCAACTGCTTTCTGAGGAAACGTTTATTTCATGAGCATATTTGCTTCTAAGACAAAGTTATGATTTCATACTTTTGTTGGCCGTTGTTTTCTTCCTGCTGTTTGGGCTCGGCGTGGTGCAGCTCGATGAAAAGGAAGTAAATAGCGGCTCCCACTGCGCCGCCAACCATGGGTCCGAAAACGGGGATCCACCACCAGCACCCTCCAGCCCTGCGAGAAAAAACACATCAACGCGTACACACACTAAAGTCGTTTATTGGAGCCTCACAGAACTTACGAAAATATGTGCTCAAAGTGAATTTACAGAAGAAAGTGAGCCTACTCTTCCAAAAATATCCATTCATTTATTTATGATTTGCCGCTTGCAAATTGATCTATTAATGGATATTGACATTTTTTTAAAGCTATCCACTCTTATTCGTTATTTTTGTGCTCAGGCCAGAGCCATGTCCAATATAAAAGTAATGCTCTGGCACCATCTTGTGGCGTCTTACTGCCAAGGAAGGACAGTATGTAAGGACAGAATAACAAAAAGCCAGGAGTAATTGATTGCACCTCAGAGGATTAATACTTGCCCTACAGATGCAACAAGATGGCGGCAAAGTCAAATAACTCCCACGTATTTTTACATTGAATTCTATTTATAATAAATGTGCTCAACTGTAAGGCGACTTCATGGACACCATGCGTGAAATGGCGCAGGTAAGCGGCCCGTCCTGATCCCTGATTAGTTGGGTCTTCTAAATAAGCAGCTCTGTGTCTGCTGCATGTGTCCTCATTGTCACTCTGGCTGACTCTTTAAGTGAGTGATTAGCGTCCAGCATTATAGCACAGCAGGTGAAGCAGAAGCAGGTTTATTAAAAAAACAAAAAAAAAAAAAAACCAAAATCAACAAGTTATGGGGAAAGGGGTGGGGCCTCTCTTGTCACTCTTGGGGGCTCCCAGGAAGTCCAATGCTGTCGGCAGGCGGCATGCCACTGGATTATCCACTTATGTGGCGCCTCATTGAGGGTGATCTGTCCAGGACACTGGCTCACTTTGTCACAGGAGCACACAATTTACAAGAATATGGGATGAGGAAATCCCCTGCCCTGATTGAACATTTTTCTAAATTAAAATATTTTGGCCGTCTACAAATTTTAAAAAATGTATTTCAAAAATAGAAGTGAGCAGAGAAGCCAGAAACTTTACTCTAGGAGGAGTAGCATTAGTTTAGATTAACATGACTCAAGTAAATGTTTTTTTTTTTTTAAAAGTGCTACAAATAATTACTTACATAAGAGGAAGTACATGCAGCAATTAGTGAAAAAAACCCAAGTACTTCGTAACTGGTAAGTAATGTCTAATCTATTAATTTTTTTTTTTAATCAGAGCAGGAATGCCAAATGAAATAAAATAAAATAAAATAAAATATGAATGTTCAGATATTGCATAGCAATATGAAGTTAGCTGCTTTTGCTGACGTATTTTTTTCACAAATCCATACCGGTGGTCAAGCCCCATATGGGGCTGTTATTTTTGCTCTATGATGATGCAATATCAAGGGCTCATCAAACAGTTTTTGTTTTTTTTGGTTTCCATAAAAGTGATGGTTTTGGAGATGTATGGGATGTAGGAAAATTATCTCCATAAAATCTGGTGGTATAGCAAAAAATCTGGAAATATGTAGAACTTAAATCAATGATACAGTGAGCCCACAAAAATGATAAGGCGAGGGACGACTGCATACTCAGAGTTTATCATCGTGTTTCAATCAGGTCCTGAGATGATGAAATGCTTTATGAAATAATAAAAAAAAAAAAAAAGTCTACTCCTCAAGAAAAGGCACAATTTGTATTTCGGTTTAGCTGCTAACTCATGAATGAAATTCATTGACAAAACGAAGGACATTTTCACTGAAACATAAAATGCAGTTTCTGTTAGTTATCATATTTTTAAAGGCACAAGATTGAAAAACTTCAATATCTACTCCTCATTTTTTTTTTTTAATCATTGGAGAATAATTACATTTTTTCCACAATGTGTCCGGACTTTCTCTCAGAAATATATAAATAAAAAGCTTCGTCTGAAAGGCTCAAAGTACAGCCAGTGCTCCTCTGCATGGCGAATGCCAAATGAGATGGGTTGGGCGTCAGGGATCCAAGCTCTGACCTTTCTTGCATAAGCTGCTGCCCCCATGGCCTGACCCCAGATAAATGGAAGAAAATGGTTGGATGAATTGGATATAGGATTAAATGCGCAGATGTTCGACAGGAAGTAAAAGCGAAAGCTTACATGAGCACGCATCAAGATGAGCATATTTTTCAAGTGCTTGAGCCATATGGTGAGCAACATGGGAACACAACCTGCATCATGGCCTTTCCACTGTCCTTCCATCCGTTCATTCTCTTCGGTGCTTTTCCTTATTAGGGTTGGGGGTGACTTAGAATCTGGGCCTGAGAAGCAAAGTCCACCCGAGACTGGTCGCCAGCCAATCACAGGTCCCATAATCAGAAGAACACTCCAATTTGCCTCATTGTCTTGAATGAGGATGGATGTATATGTACATTCTTGTCGTTTTGATTCTTTTAATACATTGGCAAAAAAAAAAACCCCACATGATTTTCACATGGGGGAATAGGGCGTTGTGTGTAAAATTGTGAGATTTTAAAAAATAATAATTAAATAAGTCCATAACATGAAATGTCGGAAAAATGAGGCATTGTGAATATTTTTCCAGACACACCATATTTTTTTGGTGTCAATTCTCTAATTTGTCGCATCAAAACAAAGCCAACTTCAATTGGATGAAGGCGCAACATGACCCAGAGAGTGTTTACGCTACGTTATTACTTCAAAGCGCCTCTGTGGAAAGTGGCCAACAGGGTTTAAGAAGGTCTGTTGCAACTGAGTCACTGACACACCAACATGTCGTCCATTAAATGGGTCCGGATGAATGCAGTCCAACTTTCCAGGGACGTTGTCTGAGCGGGATTTCAAGCTTAACTGTGTGGCCCAGGAGGCTTTTCTATCTGATCAATGCGATCAGCTCACTTGAGAGAGAAAGAAAACATTTTAGGAGTCACAAGAAAAGTTGGATTTCAGCATGTATGAATATTGTTGAGTTACTTTGAACCTGCCCTTTAAAGACATAAATACATGCATACAAAAATAGCATCTAATAGTATCTCCTGTAAAAACAAATGGAGAGAACCAAATAAAGAAGGAAACTTGAGTTTTATAGCTTCATGGGCTTGACTCATGAAGATTTTTCAAGGAACCAAAAAATATGCTTGTTTTCTACTCCTGAAAAATGCTGTGAATAACAATCACCGGTATAAAATATGCCCGTTCAAAATTTTCCTCGGTACTTGTGTATAATACTAGGCATGTAACGATATCCTAACGTCACAATACGATATTTCACGATATTGTGGGGAAGGTGGAGATATTAAAAAAAAAGCTCGCAATAGTACAAAAAAAAAAAGAACTATTTGAAAAAAGATGCACAGTATTGTGTTTTTATATATAACAGTAGTGACAAAGAAATAGGATTGGCCAATCATTTTATTGTCAATTACTCTTGTTGGCTCGACGGCGCAAAGTATCATGATCTACGTAGTTCACAATGTTGTATTTGGCTGATAACACAAATAACAATATTGAAGCCCTTACTTGCTAATGCACACACACATCGTGAATCGAGTCAATTTGTGGAGGAACTCAAACGTGTTAGGTTCCCCTTCATCTGACGATTCTCGTGGGTCTTCAACGTAGGTGGCCAAAATATGCCTAATTCAAATTAAACTGCACTAATAAACTAACCAGAAGAGGGTGCTGGAACTGCACAAATGGAAAATAACTCAGCCTTTTCAACAGATGTGGTGTATTTAAAATTGTCACGATGACGACGATATTGTGGCAATTTTAATAACATTACATCGCTGTATAATACACCCCCCTGTTTTGGTTGGTAACCTGTATTATCAGAGTGAATAATATACATGATTATTAAGCGCACTGTATCAAACCTCCTTTGGGATTTTTTTTTTTAATAGGTGTTATTGGCGTGACCTTTACAGTCGTTAAAGCGCATCATGTATTTTTATATGAAATCCTACTAAATTCCCATTTGAACCGGGGACAATTTTGTGAAAACAACGTGTACCGTGTAGTGGATCAAGTGACGTCAAAGTAGGTGCAGTAGTTTGAAGTCAGATCTAACTGCCGGGTCAAGACACTTGGGCATCACTATAATCATTGAATATTTCATATCACCGACAGGCTTATGCTCCCTGTTCTCCTGAATGCCACAGTAAGGTTTCAAAATGCACAAAATACATGAGTGCTCTTTGAAATATTAATAACAAAGAGATTCTGAAAGGAAAAGCCGTGGCTGTGAATTCTACTCCTCACATGGGAATGTGCAATAATGCATTGAGGGAGTGTCAGCTCATAGTGAGTCAGGGACACAAGACTGCACTGAACACGTGCTAATAGCTTCAGCTTTATATGCTCCAAATTTCAAATTCCAAAATAAAATAAGTCTCTTTTATTTTATGGGATCCATGAGTGCAGTCAAAAACTTTTGGTTGTGGTTGAAATAAAGTAATCAACCAATAAAATGTGACATGGGTAGTTGTAGTGGTTCACATAGCCTCAGGTATAAGAGCATCTAGAATAGACAATGCAAGGAAGAGCAAAAATCCCTTCAGTAGGGCTGCAGCAACTGAATATTTCGAAAAGTGATTTTTCTACTCATTAAAAATTGGATTTTGGTTGATTAAACAAAGAAATATGCATGTGACATGCAGATATTGTTGCCTACTTGGTGTCGCCGTCCTCAGGTTGCACACTCTTATATCTGTGTCTTTAAGTGTGCAAGATGGGGTGGCCTTGGTGAGTGATGTGGGAGTCAGCAAATGACTGAAGTGTAGACTTGGCCGTTATTACATTAGCTCAGGTTAGCGTCTAGCTAACTGTGAGCCACTTAAATGCCTGGGTAATAGCTTGTTTATAAGTGTGCTGCTGTTTTTTTGTTTTTTTAACTGTTGTTCAATAGTGATTGAAAGTGGACCCGCGTCTCCGTCAATCCTTGACGACGGGTCGCGGCAAATTGAAAACTAAGTTAAAATCTTGGTCACAGAAGTAATTAAACTCATAAGTCAAGGTATCAGTGTACTGTATCTCCTCGGCTGCACTTACCTGAAGACATTCCATCCCCATCCTGCCATTGCGGTGAAGAGTCGCGGGCTGAAGTCTCGTGCAGGGTTGATGGGATAGCCGCAGTTCAAGCCCATGGACACAGCGATGGCCAGGATGATCAGGCCGATGCACAGAGGCTCCATGCCTTTGGGAGCGCCGATGTTCCTCGAGTCCGTTATGGCCAGGATGCACAGGATCAACGCAGCACTTCCTGCCACCTGACAAAACACACAGGCAGTCAGTCCGTCATAAAACCAAACCACAACTATCTAAAACAAGATGCCGTTTTTAAACTGTGATCATCTGTGTCCTATTTTGTTTGGTTTAAGCTTATTACATGGCTTCCCTTTTACCCTGCTTTATGGCTTCACGAGGCAGTCATAAACTAAATAAACATATGGCTGTTTACGTGCAAATCAGAAAACCAAATGACAAATTATGCAATGAAAAATCTTCCTGTATGGTCTTTAACGTTGCAACCCACATGTACATATCCAGCACACGTGATATCTATTTTCAGCGTTGTGCGGAATTGTTCACTCATCGGCAAACAAGTCACATCAAAGTTAACATTTATGCCCACGGGCGCACGGTATGTATGCTCTCAAGCATCTCTGCATGCTCCAGTAGGTTCCACATACAGAACAGTCAGTGTTGTGTAACATTGTTTGCACTCATCATCATCAATAATTCCATATGGAAACCAAGAGCACTCAGAGACTATAAGCGAAAATTTTGTCTAAGCTTGCAAAAATACAAGTGTACACAACACAAATCACTTCGGCACAGTTACAAAATTATGTCAATATATATATAATGACAAACAAAAACTGGACATCGCATGATTTAGTTATTACCTGGTCAAGGAATCCATTGAGGGTGGAGAGATGCTTTGCGGGATAAGATGCAAATATGCCAGCTGTGGCGTTCTCTCCAGTAACGATAAATTCCCCGCTGCTATATTCCATTAAAGCATCTATGAGAACAACACATGCAGTAAAAGAGCGAGTTGAAACAGTAAAATGCAAATTGAGGGAATCACTCAAAGGAAATGGAACATCCTCTAACGTCTACAAAAGAATTCAGGAAAGATAGCAATAGCCTAACAGTACAATTAGCCATTTTATATATATATATATATAAATGTTTTCAGTAAACGAAAAAAAACACCAAATTCAACAGACAAAAAAGTTCAATTGCCTCAATTTAATGCATATGGATTACCATGACCTGGATGATTTTTATTGATATTGTAAATAAAAATACCATCGGCAATTCTGCTATTAAAACAAATGATATGCAGCAGGAACCATTTGATGATACGTATCATATTAATCTGCAGCATCATGGATATTACGGTTAAGTAGACAATTTACTTAGACTTGTTTTTAGGGCAGCACGGTACCTTTAAATACCTTTAAAAGTCATGATGGCTTCCATTTTCATTTTTGTGAGCGTAAGAATTGTTTCCAAATATGAACAAATCAGAAGTGTGCCTAGACTTGTTCCACTGTACTTTAGGTGGGTGAGGGGACATTTTTACTCACCATAATTCAAAAAATAGACGCAGCAGGCCCCAGCAAAGGCCCCCAAAAACTGTGCGGCCACATACACTGGAAACTTCTTCCAGGAAATCTTGCCCAGCATCACCATAGCCAGGGTGACTGCAGGGTTCACGTGGGCTCCTGGAGCAACACAACCCCAAAGCACACATCATTGCTCTGACTAAAAAGGGCTTGCTCAAGTAAGTTCAAAAACTAGATGAGTTCTTCTAGTTTATATATTATATATATATATATATATATATATATATATATATATATGTACATACACATTTCTTCTTAATACCGTTCTTGTTTGATATTTTGTTCTGTATGCTTGTTTTATTCGACCTGACTCCAGCGTCCACAACAGTGGACCACACTATTGTGGTAGCGCTCAAGACTAGTTTAGATTCTATTTGGCGGGCAGGTTTTTTTTGTGTTAGCCTTGCTACTCTGACTCCCACACTACCATATGGCGTTCCACAGGGTTCCATTTTGGGGCCCCTGTTGTTTTCATTGTATTTCCTTTCACTACTGTGCGTGACAGTCAGATCGATGTCCACTGACCAAAAAAGTTTTTTCTCCCTCAGGAAGTGTTGTCCTGTCTGGAGGAAGTCATGGCTTGGATGGCACTAAACTTCTTGAATTTCAATGTAAAGAAAACAAAAGTTGTCGTGTTTGGTCCCAGTGGCTGTTCTACATCTAAGTCCTGAATCTCAAGACAAACTCCATCACAGACCAAAGCTAGAGAAATAAGAAACACAACAGGAGTCTTGAATCTTAGCTGAATTCCCTTGGCAAACAGAACGAGGTACATTAAATATTTTTCTAATTTTATTAGAAGCTAGTAGGATGCTTCACTGTATTTCTGCTGCGTTCCTGATCAATAAACTGAAGTTGCCTTCATTTGTACATCGTTTTCAAGGCACCCATCTGAACACGTCTCGCCTGTTGTTTGAGCTGGGCATAACTACACCCTTCATGATCCCACCCTAAAAGAGCAGGGTGAAGAACATTCCATCCCAAATTTGTGGTCCTGCGCTGACAGTGTGGGCTCATTTATTTAACACTCTGGGATCTCCGTTTTGACCTTTCCGTGGTGACACCGCTGGGGGGTATCAACCATGCGGCCATTGTTCGTCTCCCCATCCTGTTCATAAACACCAGGCGCAACAACGGAGCCAGAAGCGGCGCACCCAATTGCATGTGACATAATCTGTCTGAAGCGGCTTAAGGCACACGTAGAGCGCGGGTCATTAGAGTGACCAGGATGTGTCACACTTGCGCGCCGCCGTCATCCAAAATGGGGGACTACAAAGAGGAGACAATTGTGTTTTCTTCAGTGATGGGGGCCTCCCTGCCTGGGAAGCCTTGAAAGGCAGGCTCGTCACACCTGACCCCCCACCCCCCTGCCTTCCTCTCTGGAGACCCATGCCCCAGTAAAGCTCATTAGTCCAATACCTATGATCATCTTCAGACATGTCGTCCCACAGTAGCTTCCCACTGTGCTGTGGACCCCGGGGCCCAATGGCCCAGTCATGCAGCAGAATCTCTCCATATATTAACCTCCTTGTCCTCTCAAGCCTCACCACTACGACTCTCATTAACCACGGAGAGAGCAACTAGACAGCGCAAGCATCGTCCAGTCAAACCCGACCGCATGTGTTGTCGGTTAGGGACCTCTTACACCGGACACGACATCGGGTACATCAGAATCCACATGACAATCTCTATTGGCCAACACAAAGAATGTGTCTCCCTCAGTTGCAGTCACTCTTCTAGAATTACAAAAATAAGACACTATACATTTTGGACATAAAGACGTGCAATGTTTAAGGAGTCATTCGCAACAGATGTATGGTATGAATTGACAACAAATGTTTAAATGATGCACAGCTACAAAAATGAAGATGGCAATGACAGCAGGAGAGTGATGTGCAAAATGGCATAATGAAATTACGAAAATATAGGAAGAAGGTACCTCTGATACTGTATGATAAACTGAAAACTGGGTGGATATCCAGCTCACCCACAAACTTGGTGAAGATAAGTGGTTGGCCCGAAGAAAACGGGTGGCTATTGCACACTAGACTGGATCATATTAATTACTTTTCTTGTTTTTTTTTTTTTTTGTTTTGGTTTTTTTTTTCAATTTTATTTTACTTTTACTTGCCACAGACTAACGGCAATGCCTGATAGCTCTGTCACCTTTTGTTCCTATTAAGATGAGATTTAAATTTTCCTTGATTCCGGTCAAATGCTGCACTTATCTTTTTTTTCTTTCAACTTTGTGCACTGCTCCGACTTTGGGGAAATTGTGAATATTGCTGCTGAGATTGACAGGCGACTAGCCCAAAGTGTATCCTGCTTTTCACGCAAATTAGGCTGGTATAGGTTGTGGTTCACCTGCAACCCGAATGAGGCAAACGTGAATTGTTATTCTGTTATTATTATACTTTGCCTGCACCTTCTACCTATCAATAGTCAGGATGGCATTCATTATTGATTTCAATATTTCATTTGGCGTTATTATCAATGTAGAGGGATGATTGAACAGACCTAATTGTATTTTCAATGTTTGCCTTTCTGCCCCACTAACTTCTTAAAGTTGCAATCCAAACATGTAGTGCAAGTTGTAGAAATGTCTTCTTCAATTTAAGCTTTACTGCCTCTGTGTGATGGAAACGATGGATGATCAAGACAGCACAAGAAAGACGTTTACATTAACTCTAATTACAGTTTCAAATTTAATGATGTTCTGCAGCGCACAAGGAGCCGTAAGAGATAATATGTCATGATATTTTGATATCGCCGTGTATGAGGGATGCTTTGTTTTTTTTCACATTTTGATATCAGACTAAGATATCTAAGATCGTACAATCTGATATCATCCAATTGTGGAATTGCTCATACTTTTTTTTTCTTAATTTAATTGCGCAGCAATAATCACCAGAGACTTACAAAAGTGGGTGTTTGCATAATTTCATAATCTTAAAATAAAGTCAATTTTCAATCACATTATCTCAAATTCTTTTGAGATATGTAAAAACCGTGTTTAAAGGAGACGTGTTACGCATTTTCTCCACAATTTCAAACATTTTTCCGGGCATTTCAATAACCATTTCTGTAACATGCTTTCGTCCAAATACCACAATTATGGATCCAAATACACTTTACACACAACATTGCTTGTCTTGTGGAAATTAGTCTCGTTTAAGGAGGCAGCCCGATGTCATACAAGTGTGTGACTTTAGCCAGGAAATAATTGAGCCATGAGAGAATGTTCGGCAAAATGTACTAAAACGCATTAAGGCAAAAGAAGGTGGAGTACCAAAGTCGTGTCACAGGCAATGCCCATTTTGAGAATTTGTGAAATTGGTTAAGAAAATTGATACACGTTTGAAAATTTGGGGGTGAATTTTGATGAGTAATGTATTATTTTGCACCACAAAACCTATTTTGTTTCATTTGCCGAGGACGCTTTCCCACAACACATATTTTAATCTCACTGCAGGCAACCAACGAAACATGTCAGCGTGTCCCAAAGTCAGCCTACACTTCCTTTTTTTCTGTTTTATTTCTGGTATCTTTTGGACAAACGCGAGACTATCAGCATTGGACAATCTCGGCTTTACAGTTTTTATAAGCATCCCTTGCCTGTGGTTCGCAAGTTAAAATCGAAGCAGGGTTGCAAAATTTCACGCTTAGCAAGACGTTTGTCAGCATCGGACCCTGCCAATTTGAGAAGCTTTATGGCCGCCACACTGCGCCACACACTGCTGCAAGTTTTTCGAAACAGAATCTGCTACAACCACCACTGATGTGAACACCCGAACCCTAGAACAGGCATTTTAGAAATTCTATTTGTAGGGTTGCACTGAACTGAACTGCAGTCAGGAAGAGTAAAACATTTTGCCAGGTGGCAATTTTGCAATGTTGCTCAATGGTCACTTTGTAAGTCAAGCAAGCTTACAAAACTGCAATGCCAAAGTTGTCAAATGCTGATGTGTTATGTCTGTCCGAATTATACCTGAAACAGAATAGAAGTGACTTCGGGACACCGTGATATAAAAAAAAATAATAATAATATGAAACAACACTGGACAACAGGACATGTAATTCACATCACTTCTTGGGGAGGGGACACCCTGTTAAATCCTCCTTGTATCACATTTACATTTTTAAAGTAGGTTTTGAGTGGCGTTGATTGCAGCCATATGATTGCCTCCACCACCTATTTAGGACGCGTATACAAACTGTGTCCAGGTGCTTTTACCTGAAACCCCTCCTGCAATGTAGGCGGCCATCATAAGACCCAGAGTGAAGCCAAGGTGGATGGACAGGGGCTCCCCCAGAGCCCCCTTGCTCAGGACAGCCTGGGCCACAGAACCACATCCAAAGAGCTGCGAGACACACAGAGACGAGAAACCGCTCATTGTTTTTTTTTTCCCCACCATTCCAATTATAGGCACCCTCAACACTAGCCCCTTGTCTAACAACAGCCTCCAACTGCCAGCCACAATTTGTCCGAGCAAAATAAAGAATCCCCCCACTTAGTTAGGACAAAACAAATGAGAGCAGTCATCCACACATAAAAAGGCTGCACTAATGGGTCACAGTCATTGAACTTAGGTGGTGACAGGTGGAGGTGAAAAGAAGTGGGGGGCGGGTGAGCTCACAAATATATTAAATGTAAGAACATTTGAAACAGGCCGGCACGGCGATGCTGAAGATCTTGTTCCACATCAAAGTGCGCTATGTGTCTCAATCGAGACATGTATGTGACAGACAGCAGAGTCTCAGGAGAGATAGAGAGGCACCTAATTAGCAGCCTTAAAGCGGCGGTTTAAGCTGAATGACAGGTGCACGCAGGCAGACGGGACAGCTACTCACTATCAGGACAAATATCCCCAGAAACTCCGCCAGGAACTCCTTCAAGATGTCTCGCCTCAGGGCAAATCTCGCCTTCCACTTCCTTCGGCACTCACTCTCCATTTCCCCACGTCCCGTTGTGTGCTCCTTCCACACAATAAACACATAACGAGAAGGAGAGGCGAGAAGCGACGATGCTCACTGGAGGTTGCCGCCTCCCACTCCATGACTGAGCCTTGGCGGGATGCAGCACACTTTGCCACCACTAGTGGGGCCACTTTTGACACCAAGTACCCCCCCCCCCCCCCCCCCCCCCCCCCCCCCCCAACTTACTTCGCTCTCCAAATATCACACTCAGAACGGTAGCTTAAGTGGGCATCAAAAACGAGAGACTTTCTTTTTTCTTTTTTTACCTCTAAAACATATATTTCATAGTATTGTAAGCCAATGTAACTTCATGCCTACTTTGAACATCAACACTAGGCTTAAATATGGGAATAAAAATGCTTACAATAAATAATGTTAATTAAAAGAGTTGCACATAAAAGTTGGATACAAATTGCACCTCAATAAATGTTTACAAACAAAGATTAAATGCAAATATGTTTGTGCTAATAGTTAAATACGAACTGTAGTCAGGCAGTGATTCCCTCACATACCATGAATGAAATCCAGTGATGTCCACCGCTCACATCTGCAGAGTGCCAAATCTGTCTGCCTGCGGCTCGATCAAATATATCAAAAATATCAATTATTTGATGCAAAATAAACCTCTTTTTAGCCACCCTCAAATGTAGCCTACTTTTTGTAGCCACATTTGCAGATGCGCCGGGGGGTGAGGCAGAAACACCAAGTGAGGCATAACTCATCTATTAAAAGTCACAAAATGACTCAAGGGCGACGCAAGTCCATGTGCCGGTCCGCCCGGACGGGCACAACATGGCACAAAACGTGGTGGACTAGACTTCCTTTGGCATGAAAATGAAGTTACACTTGTTCTTATACCAATTGCATGGGCGCCAGTCTACTTAAATAGGGCCCTTCATGTTCTGCTGTCGTATCTGTGACTTTGAGGGTGTATGGCTTTAAACGGTGGGTCCTGCTGTAGTGAGTGAAACGTGTGTCAGGAAATGATGAGGATAGATGGAAAATGGATGGAAAGGAATGCATAATTTCCAGGTATTTGTATTTTGTTATGCTATTCTTTCCTCTGTGTATTAGGAGATTTTCAATGCATCTATTATGACAACAAATCTCCACAATTTCTTGATGTATTATTTAATGTTCTGATATATATATATATATATATATATATATATATATATATAATTTATAATATATTTTTATGATATACATTTGTAGAATTGTTTTTACTCCGTTTTGACGTATTATGCAAACATGCTCGTGATGATGTCTCCTCGGTAATCCATGGAGAGTTTAAAAAAAAAAAGGAGAAGAGTGGTTTCCTCGTCGGGGGCCGCGTCCATCCAACAGAGGGAGCTCCATGAATACGTTTAACAGAGCCGTCTGAGTTTTGTCACCCCCGTCAAACAGCCGCTCAGGCGACAGGCTCGAGGATGTGTTTGCAATGCATTCGTCATTGTCACTGAGTCCATGCGTGCTCTTCTTTGAAGTTGCGCACGCGCACGCCCCCCCCCCCACACACACACACACGCGCACACACGCGCACTCGTACACGCGCGTGCGTGTACACGCGCTCCCTCGCACTCTTGCTTGGTGTGAAGAAAAAGAAACGATGTCTGATGTGCTGATGGACAACAAGCGTCCTTTGGGACATTTCATCTTCATCATCATTATCATCGTCATTCTCTTTCTCAGACGTTGATCTTATGGAAGTTTACATTACATGCATGCGTCTTCTCTCAGTGACACACTGAGCTGGGTAGTAGCGGTGGTAGTACAGTAGTAGAATCAGTGATAGTAACTGTAGCTGTGGAGGCAGAAATATCAGTATTAGTGTCAATTGTAGTAAAATGACTACTACTGGTTGAAGTTGTGCTATTATTATCAGTAGTAGTAGTAATAGTGAAAGAAAAGGTACAAGTGGGATGAAGTATCCGTCGTAGTAGAAATAGTAGTTACCGCTACACTGAAAAAATAAGACCACAGCTACTTAAAAATGTAACTGGATCCAGAGGAGTTTATTTCGTGCAATCACTTGATGTAATAAAATTGAATATATTCAGCACTTTTTTTTCCAGTGGAGTATTAGTGGTGGTGTTGGTGCTGGTAGTGGTACTACGAGAAGTATTACTAAAGTTAATAGTAGTAGGAGGAGGAGGAGGAGGAGGAGGAGTAATACAATTAACAGTGGTGGTAGAAATATCAGTGATAACCGTAGTATAAAAAAATAATGGTAGCAGTGCTAGAAATAATAGTGTCAGTAATAGTACAAGTAGGGGTGGTGGTGGGCGTATCACTGCCTCTCGTAGTAGTGGTGGTAGTAGTACCAAAAGTAGTCGTAGAAGTTATACCCACTAATGTAACTAATTAGTATAAGTAGTAGTAGTAGGAATAATGGGGTAGTAGAGGAATAGTAGCGGTAGTATCAGTAAGAGTACTAGTACTAGCAGCAGTGGTGGTGGAAGTTTCAACTCTTGTGTGTATCAGTAGTAGTGGTGGTGATGATGATATGATCGTGCTAAAAGTGGTGTCAGTAGTAGTAGTAGTCGTAGTAGTAGTAGTCAAGGTCGTAGTAATATGAGTAAAAGTACCAGTACTACTTGTAGTGGGACTGGTAATAGAAGGAGTAGTAGTAGTAGTAGTTGTAGTAGTAGTAGTAGGAGTAGTAGTAGTAGTAGTAGTAATTCTACCACTGCTACAACTAGTTAGTAGTGGTAGTCGTAGTAGTCGTGGTGGTAAATGGAGTAGTGGTGAGAAATACTGTAGTGGAAGTATCAATAATCGTAGTAGCACTGGTAGTAGTGATGGTGTTACTGTCAGTGGTAAAATGAGTAATAGTCGATGTGATGATGTTAGTAGTCATAGAAGTAGTCCTACCATTGCAACAGTTACTTATTAGTGGTAGTATCAGTCATATTAGCAGAAGTGGTTGTAGAGGTATCAGTTTAATACTGTTTCATTATTAATAGCAGTAATAGTCGTATCCGTTTTAGTACAAGTACCTAAGGTGATAGACGTATCTGTGGTAGTGGAATTAATAGTAGTTGTCATGGTAGTGTTAAATGTAGGAATAGTTCTGCCTCTACTATAACTTAGTAGCAGGAGTAGTAAACTTAGTATTGGTAATGGTAGTAGTAGAAGTACTATGAGCAGTAATAGTAGTTGTATCAGTAGTAGAAAATGTTTCAGTAGTGGTAGAGGAATCAGTCGTAGGATAATTACCAGGAATGGTAGGTAGTAGTAATAGCAAAGTAAGTAGTATCAGGAAAACTACAACTCAAGGCTGTGGTTGTACTGTAAATGGGATTATCACTAAAAATAGAAGTGCTCGTTGTACCAGTATCAGGAATAACCAAAGTGGTTCGTAATGTGCTACATTAGTCCGTCACATTTACTTAAGGAACTTTTGGGATACTTATAGTGAACCTTTTTTTTTTTTTTTGGTTACAAAGATGTGCTACTTATACTCTGTTACCTTGAGTAACATTCTATGGACTACTTGTACTTTTAGTTTTCACTGATTCTATTTTTATAGTTGACATTTCAACCTACAAGAAAGTCCACTTTGAATTTGAGAAAACACATTGCAGTTCTCAGAATTAAGTCATAAGTGCCCGATGAGACTATTGTGTGGTTTTATAAGTGTAAACAAATGAATTAATTTAAGGCCATTCTTCTGGGGCTGAAATTTGTTATTTTATTAAATGTATTATTTTTGACGATATTTGAAGTTGCGCATTCTTTTTTGACATTTTGTTTGTATGATGTTCAAGTGATTAAAAATCAATAGCTTGGCCCTTCAGTCGTTTTCACTGAATATTTATGGCGTCAAGTAATTATTTGGAAGATTTTAACTTTTACCGGAGTCATATTATTCTGAAGTAAGATTACTCCTACTTGAGTACGATTTGTGGCTACTCCACCCACCTCTGAGTAATAGTAAAAGCTGCAATGACGTTAAAAGTAATGTGGTGTCATTAGTAGTAAAAGTTGAGGTGGTGTATGTGGACAATCCGTGTATTTTTTTCGGGAGTGTGTGTGTGTGGGGGGGGCGGGGGTCTGTTGTGTATGTTTATTGCGAGGGTGGATGGAGGCGCTACGTGTGGAGGATTATCACTTGCAGGAGTAAGTAGTGTAGAGTAGCAGTCGTAGTAGTGTCGTATAGTGCTCATTTACATGACATTTTAGGGAGGTCGATGGTCGTTTGGCACCCCCGTGTCACTGAGGAAATAGTGGTACACAATGAAGGTGTGGAAGAAGTGCGCGTGGAAGTGGGAGATTAAAAATGCGCGCACGGAGGTGGTGGTGGGGGGGGGGGACGAAAGAAATAAGATGGAAAAAAAAGCTAATTCCGAGGAAGTTTATAAAGCAAACAGTTTGGAAAGTGAAGCGGTGATGAGGAGTGAATCACCGACGAGTGGGTGTGGTGCGTGTTCCTCCTCAAACTTTATGTAAATGCCTGTACTAGAGTGGAGTGGAGAGTTACTTTGCAAAAAAAAAAAAAAAAGTGGAGGAAAAGAAAGGACAGCCCTTCTGTTGCCGGCCCAATGAAAGCGAGCCTCGGTTGACACCTGGCTATAAACCCACGGAAGGAAAAGCCCAAAGTCCACAGCAACGTTCACTTACTTACTCGCTCGCTCGGCCGTGGGGGGACGCAAAAGAGACGCGAGAAGCGACGCAGAGATGACTTCCAGTGAGATCCACATGCCCGGGGAGGTGAAGAGCGACCCGGCCGCCCTCATGGCATCCCTGCAGCTCATGCCCACGCCGGTGCCCAACCCGGAGATCAAGTACACCAAGGTCAGTCGGTCCACCTTGCGTCGTCCGCTCACGACTCTTCCTCACTGTCGCGCGCTTCAGTCTGGCGAGCGCACTCCGAAAACAAACCAAAAAAAAAATAAAAAGAAGGTAGGATTAGCTCGTATTTTACCGAGGAAAAGCTTGACGTACATATTAAATTACAATAAGTGTAAATTGGATAAGCGAAAAGTTGGGAAAAAATGACATAAACGTTCCACATCACTTAAAATAAAGAGAGTAATGCGCTCATGAGGAAAAAATGGCTACAACTAATAAAAATCAACTAAAAAAACGATCTGATTATACTTTTTAAATGTATTAAATACACTAAATGTTATCATGTGCTTTCATATCAATAAAAGCTGCAATGTTTTAACATTCCACAATCTATATGCAGTCAATAAAACGCTTGAGATTCACAGTGTTAACTACTGAACAACTATTATTACTAAATTTTGACCTATTCATTTATCACAATTTTTTATTGCCTTTTAGTTTGCTGTTGGGTCGGAGTGAGAGCTGCCGCAATTATTTTGGTGAACTTATTTTGCTCCAAAATATTAGCGGCATCAACAGTATATTGCTGTGTAGTTATTTAATTCAATTACTAAAGGTTAAAAAAATGCACATCTTACCACTGAGAAAATAAATACTATCTAGTTGTATAGTGTAAAATGCAGTATCTCAAGAATTATAAAAAGAAGCGTAACAGTGTCTTTTAAGTTGGAAAACAACAGCCACATCAATAAACATATTGCTGAGTTAATACCTCTCTGACAGGTGCATCATTATGTTTACAAAAGTAGAATATTTTTGGTCCCTCATTTCTGCATTACATGCTCACAAAGGACACTTCATCTCAAAAAAGAAAGCATTTGAAAGCCTTCATCTCAAAAAGAAAGCATTTGAAAGCTTTAGTGAGTGAATTATACAAAGCCACCATTAAAGTGTCAACTTTTAAATGACTAGCAACAAAAGTCCACAATGATGACAGGGTTTCACCGCAGTAGTAGCGGTGTGTGTGTTTACGCTGATCACTGGCTCGTAACGTGTTCATTTTGCGTAACTAAGGTGGCTGTCAATCATTTAAAGCATCAGTGGGGAAAGGTGAAAGTGAAGTCTTTGTGTCAATCATTTAAAGCATCAGTGGGGAAAGGTGAAAGTGAAGTCTTTGTATGTGTGGTCTCTCCGTTCACAAGGGAGCCGACAGAGAAATGCTAATGATAGAGCGACAAAAGTTTAGCTGGAGTGCGGGGCGATATCGCAAATGTTTCTGGAAGTGGGAGGAGGACAGAGATGCAGAAACAGCTGGAGAAAGGAGTCACGCGAAGATGTTGATTTGAGCTGTGAAGCAACTCGGGCTGCTGCAGTGCCAAAAGAACATTCACTTTAACAGTATTGCATATTTGTGCTGAGCAATTCAATATTTTGTCAACACCGTGGCTAGCGTTAACGGAAGATTTCATTTTAATCTGCATTCTGGCCTCAAGTATGTATATCATTAGCCAAACAGCATCATTGACAAAGTCATTTTTTGAACCCTTTTGGAAAACAAGAAAAAAAAATAATTTCACGAACAAGAAGATTTTCAGTTTCTTCGATTTGACCTTTGCAGATGACTGTGACCTGGATGACTAAGAGACATGAAAAAAATTTGGGGGGGCAAACATGTTGGTCGTTTTTGTTGAAATTGTGATGGCAATTACTTTATTAGGGTGACTTTATGTTGTTATCTTAATAACATAATTGCCAATATAACGTAAGGTAACGGTATATTGTGAGCCTAATAGCACAATTGTTGATGTGTATTTTTTCAGTATTTTTGAACTTTTTCATAAAACAAGAAAAAAACACAACAAATTTAACAAACAAGATGAATCCAGGAAAAAAAAAACACACAAACTTTTTCCCACAACGGTATTTCTATTGATATTGTGATGTGAGAAACAAATTAGCGAATTCTGCTATTTGGCTAACGATACCTTCACACTTTAGGAATGAGATTGTAAATTAGTTTTAGAGCAAAGCTTGCACACAGGACAAGGCTACCGAACTGATCGTTCAGGCGGGAACCAGAGGTGGCAAAGTACTCACGCTCGACTTAAGTCAAAGTACAGACTCTTGTATTTCAAAAGTATTTGGCTAGAGGAAGTAAGAACAGACTCAGACATGTGCGATGTAACAAGAGCCAAAATTAATTTGATCTGTCAACTATATACAACATCCCTTATGATAACTTGACAATAAAAAAAAGAAATGATATGAGAAAAAAAACACGTTACATGTCACATTAAGAGCTAGCTAGCGTTGACTTGACTTTTGTGCGGTCAAAACAATGTGTTCTCATAGTTTTGCTGACATGGTGAAATGAGGAACAATAATGCTAAATTAACTAATGACATTAACTGAAAAATAAATTCCAAAACATACCGTACTTGTTTGTCATTAAGTGCACAAAAGTATATGTGATACTCATTGAGAGGACACTTGACATACACGGTCATATAAACTATTAGAGTTTCTATCATTAGCCTAATAGCATAGTTGCTTCAAGCATTGTTGATTATTTTCGGAAAACAAGTCGAGTTGCTTTGTTTGATTCAACCTTAACTGATTAGCAAATTCTGGATGACTAAGAATAAACAGAAATGAAGAAAATAACAACCATTATAGCAAGCATGTTGCTATTTTATTGTTATTGTGACAAGACGTTTAAAATGACATCGTCAATTTTGCTATTTGCCTGACGGTGGGTTTTCTGGGATTAGACAGACTTTTTGAATGCCAGAAGCTGGTGGTTTTTTTAGGCTGGCACAGGGGCACTACATTGCACGCAGTAACCCCCCCCCCCACACACACACACACACATCATCATTCTCAATCAATGAAGTTCTCAACAATGGTTGACTTTAACTCTCTTATTTCTGTCTTTTTAACGTTCTGTCTTCATCCGTAGACGCAGAAAAAATTAACTACTCATATCTTATTTTGACAAAGTAAGGAGAAAAAAAATGACCGATATCTGTTCTCAAATCTACGGACTGAAAGTACCCAAGTAAAGTACAGACACCTGAAAATTCTACTTAATTACAGTATGGAAGTATTTGTACTTTGCACTTAGTTACTTCTCATTGCTGTTGCGAAGAAGTGATTTTTTTATGATTGTGAGATTAAAGGGCAGTGTTGGATGATAGTGCGGCGGAAGTCTATTCAGTTCCATAATTGCTCTCTTAACACATACCTCGGTGCCACAAGTGCAAAGGTCACGCCGCCGCTGCGCTACAAAGAGGATGTTGTGTATGTGTGTGTGTTTCTGTGTGTGTGTGTGTGTGTGTGTGTGTGTGTGTGTGTGTGTGTGTGTGTGTGTGTGTGTGTGTGTGTGTGTGTGTAGGCCCTGAGCCACTCTTCCTTTCCCTCGTACAGGAGGAAATGTTTGGGAGCGACTTGGTGAATTAACCTCAAGGAATTTGGATCATCCAGTCCCGGATGGTTTGGTGGACACAGGGGGCACAAGGGTCCTGATTTATGGGCACCCCTGGCGTGGGCTCTCCTGTTGTCCATCCCGCTGACTAGGAGGGAAACAGCCCAGCGTTGTGGCTGACCGGCCCGCGATGCAGCCATATGCCCCATTCACAGATTGCTTTCGGCAGCCCGAAGTATATGGGTCATTTCAGAATAGGAGGACAATCTGTGCACGAACATTTTTGAAGAAAAAAAAAAAAGGCAATTTATTTGATATTTTTTTCTGTCACGTTTTCAAGAAAAGCAGCTAACAAATTATGTAAATTACCTGTCAGCTCAGTCGCAGCGGTACACTTTTTTGGTGAGATATTCTATTTGTCATATCATTTTGCTGTGTTTGGTACAACACAGTTACAGATAGTCAGGCATCTAAAAAAACATACAATAACGATATTGCCGAATAAATCTTTTGCAATTTAAAAAAAGTTTAATTTAATTACCTGTAGTGCTCCAATTACATGAACAGGTTTGCAAATTAGCGCCAGTGTTAGACTCTTTGTTCAAGATGACATGCTAGCTGTGTTCGGTGCTGTGCTAACTGTTCCCATAAATAATTAAAAACAAAAAAACGTTTTTAATTAATTTAATTTTTAATGAATGTATTTTTTTTTCTGATATGACAAACACAGTGGAGTTGGTTTATGGTTGAAAACAAAGACAATAGATGAAAATGAAACACATGGTCAAGTGCAATTAGCTTGATGATGTAATTTCTGCTGAGTCATGCAGTTCACTTTTTTGTCCTCCTCGAAATGGATAAAAAGGTTTTCATAAAAGGGTTCAAAGGGATAACCTCAGAGCACAGTTACAACTCCTTAAAATGTATACATAATAAAACATTTTTTTAAACAGTTACAAGGACGTCCTCAACAAAATCACACCAAAAAAGATGATTGAAGATATATTTTATATTTTATATGTAAGTAGATCATGATAAGAAAAAAAAACATTTTAAGGGTTGCTCAAGAAAAAAAAAATATTTTCAACAATATTTAAGAATCACTTTGTTGTCTCCGGACAACTAGATTCAAACAGCAAGTGAAGTGCAAGCCTCAGTATTTTGTGTGTGGATTATTTGAAATTTCACAAAATGCCCTCTAATTCTGCAATGAGCCATACACCATCGTGATGTTACGTTCGGCGTCACAGTCATTGCCTCGCCCAGCCGTTGCACAAACAATGCAGCGCAATCCAACAATGACATCTGAGTGACCCTGGAAATATCTCACATCAACCTGATAAAGTATCGTGATCGACGATAAAGGCGGTTTAAGGGCATTGAGGTTTGCTCCTTGTCCTTTTCACCTAGTCGCGAACTGTGCTCTCAGATGCGCACTTGTAACGGCTGATTTCCTTCCTTCAATCTTTATGGAAAAAATTTATATATATATATATATATATATATATATATATATATGTGTGTGTGTATATACAATACAATGAAGGAGGCGCTCTTTGGGTTAATGGAGCACTCCAAATTGTCCCGAGGTGTGAGTGTGAGCACAAATGGTTGTTCGTCTATGTGTGCCCTGTGATTAGCTGGCAACCAGTTCAGGGTGTCCCCCGCCTACTGCCCACAGACAGCTGGGATAGGCTCTAGCACGCCCCTCGACCCTTGTGAGGATAAAGCGGATTAGAAAAAGGATGGATGGATGGATGGATGGAGGCATTCTTTTTTTTGTCCCTGTGTTCGCCCCCACATTTCCATAGCATGAAGGCTCCAACAGCTGGCTTACAAGACGCAAACAGTTTAAAGGTTGCCGGGACCACGACGGAAGCCATAAATAAAGGGAGCCATGATAGATGATACTGATGCTTTTTGCTGGCAAAAGTAGGGAGGGGAGACGCTCGTTGGAAGGATAATTAAGGAATGCCGAGGGAATGTTTGTTGTCTTTGGGTGATCTATCCCCCCCACCCCCTTTGGTAGAGTTGACAATGCGACACAATTCAGAGATAAAGAAATATCAGTGATTCTCAAAGTCGGATTTAAGTTGTACATGGACACTCTAGTGGAAAGAATCACTGAATTAAATCCAGTATGAATAACATTTACAATATTTATAAGATGTTAGAATGAAACTTAGGAAAGTCATATATGCCCTTTTAAAATGTCTTTAAAATTCAGTATTTTTGTAACTTTTCAAGAACATTTTTAAGCACAGTTCAGTTGTATTTCACTTTTACATTTAAACATTTGAGCATTCCCCCCCACTTTTTCAATGAATATTGGGACAATAAGTTAACAATGACTTGGGCTTGTGGTTCTCAAACGTTTTACACTAAGTGCTACCTCAAAAAATATTGAGCAAATGATCACCATCCTGACTAACATTAAATTTGATGATAATACTGTAAGTGTTCAAGAAGAACCGCAGAAAAGTTTGCTTCCTAAAAATTATATTAATCATTGTAATCCACAGTAAAATTATGCAAGGTTTGAACATTAACACAGCACTTAAGTACAGGAAAATATCATAAGAAATACTTGTAAGGACTCTAATGACACCACCCACCCCCCCAAAAAGTTTGTCAACTGGTCTATATACTGTAATAGCATCCACCCATCCATTTTCTTATCCTCACGAGGGTCGCAGGTGTGCTGGATCTTATCCCAGCTGTCTTCGGGCAATAGGCGGGGTACACCCTGAACTAGTTGCCAGCCAATCACATGCAATAGCATAATAATAATAATAATAATAATAATAATAATAATAATAATAATAATAATATAATTATTATTATTTATTTTTGCTGTTCTTAAATTAAAATTAAAATGGTATAATCACTAATGAGTAATTCCCATTTTTGGGTGAGCACTTTTTTTAGTATAAAATACAAAATAAATAATTCACCAAAACGATGAGGAGAGATTGGGATGGGCCAGTTTCAGGACACAACTGCAATTTCTGTGATTCTTTGTCTTCTTTTTTTACATCACACACGAGGTTTTGTGATGATCCAAATTAGGATTGCTGGACCTTTATGGTAAAGAGCACGTGAGGAGCAAATCAGCTGCCCACCAGTGACAAATGGGCAATTGAACGTGTACTTTCAATGTGACTGTAATGTGGGCTCGAGAATAGTGTCCTATCATGTACCAGATCTGTTCATCTGTTCAACAGTGATAAATAGCGAGTGCACGTTCACCATAGGAACCTGCGCTGTGCAACCTGGTTGCCCATGCCGAGTGTGTGTTTGTACACAGACACGCACTCACTTTGGATGAAGAAGGGGCTCCATCAATCTGTCACTGATTGAGATAGTACAGGCAGGCGGGGGTGCGGGAGGGGCTCCATGATGCTCGGTGCTGTCCACCGGGGTGTAAATTATGAGGCCGCTTCACCGTGTGGGTGCGTGGCCCTGCTTCGCCAGAGCCTGACCTGCAGTTCTGGACTTTTTCACTTCAAAACCACCATCTTTCTGCCATCAAGATCAAACGCAGCGCAAGTTAGGGGATACTGTGCAACTCAATGATTTATCACAAGCAGCACAGCGAGAATCCCCCCCCCCCCAAGCCCCCCCAAGCCTCTCTTCCCTCCACTTGCCTTACACAATCTCCTGTTCACACACACACACACACACACACACACACACACACACACACACACACACACACACACGCACGCACGCACGCACGCGCACGCACGCACGGCCACATCTCAAGTCTAAAGCATGTCTCCTTGATTGTGACGGTTTAAGTGCTCAGCGTCATTTAGATGTCCATTGGTGTGAAATGCCCACTTTGTGCAGCCAGTGTAAATTTTAGTCGAAGCGCACACATGTCAACATGACGTCTCCGCTCTCTTAATCACGTCTGAGGGGAAGGCCAGTGACATGGAGGCTGCTCCGTTCACTTCTTATGAGACCCCGTTTCTGCAGGCCTCCTGACAGGGAACGTGTAAATCCTCGAGGTGTGCTTAGGAAAAACACTGGGCTTCATAAATCTACTGGAATCGGTTCCTTCCCCCCGACGAACACGAGACACAAGCGCTTTTCAAGATGTTTATTTGTCTGTTGAAAAGCATCACATGTCTTCAACATGAAATGATTGCTTCCACCCCCTCCACTCCACCCACTGATCCGATGTGTAGAACAACATCTTTAAATATATCTTTGACCTGAGCTTTCAAGAATGATGTAGAGCCATCAAAACCCCCGTGCGAAAAATAAACAGCAGCTGAGAGTCGAGCTGAACAATTAATCAAAAGAGATTTTCGAATCGCAAAGGTGATTGGAGGGGTGGGGGGGGACTGCTTCATTTCGGCCGGTTGTTCACTTTTTATTTTTTGATATTCTCTTCTATTTATTTGACAATTTATAAAGT